ATAGTCATACGAACCGAATGGAAATCGCTTTGAATCCGATAAATCGGATACGGAACCGGTACAATCAACCTATCGTCGTAGGACTTGGTGTATAGGTGAGGTTAATCTGCGAACCTACTAACGGACAACAGCCCCTGGAAGCGAGATCCCAGGGTGTGTGGGTGTGAATACTCCGAATGCTGGTCACTCTGAGGCAGACGCCAGGTAGTGCGCAGTCCTGTAGAATTAGAGTGTAGAACAACAAGCATAGAATCGTATTATTCCCAGTGCTTTGTATGTGGAGAATAAAGTAGGTGTAGACCTCCATAACGTCCATGACAGTCTGATACCGTGTCTATGTGCACCCGAGTGCACATCATTGTGCGTACATCATGAGACATGCTGGTAGAGAGAGAACCTGATGTGTTGGGTAGCAGCGATCGATGGGACACAGGTTGTCATTGTGTATATGGCGGACTCAGGGATTGAAGGCCAAAGCGCACGATGCAGCCTTTGGCGAGATGAAACAGTTACATCTCAGGGACACCTTCCGTCCAAAGTAAATGGAAGAACTCAGCGTTATGGAACGCAAGAGTATCTTAGAGTCACACCTGTTCCTTAAGTTGAAAAGGAATGGGAAGATAAAAGGCCGAGCTGTTGCATGAGGCAACAAACAGCGTGATTTCATCTCCAAGGAAGACGCGAGCTCGCCAACAGTGTCGACAGAAACAGTGCTACTATTAGTCCTGCATAATCGTACGCGAGAGAAAGGGATGTGATGGGCAGTAATGAGCATTGCTTGAACGCCTTCATCCAACAAGGTCGAGATGAGAAAAGACATTTGGTTGTATATCATTAGGGAGGTAAGAGGGGAGTACTAGTAGACTATTTTGGCTTGGTGATGAAAGATAGCCCCATAGTTACAACCCGTGCGTTAACGAACGGATAAGAAAGGCAACAAGTAGTTGCTACTGCAATGCTGAATGCCATCTACGGCAACATGGTAGCTAGTGTGAGGGTAATTGCGTCTTGGACTTATGACTACCGTTAAGTCGGGAGACGTGAGTGTTGTCCGGAACGGATTGTGAAGATTAAGTCCTTGATCGGACCCGGCGTGTGTAGCCAGAGCAGATGGGTGCGACGGCAAGCTAAATACATATAGCGGTTACGTGCTGGCAGTGTAGTTACCGTGACTTGTTAAGTCGGTTAATATTAGCGCGGTGACAGAGGACGGTTCGGAAGGTTACTGGAGCAGCAGCTGACAATGTGGCTTCGTGATGATATACGAAGAGCGAGGGTATTTCGGGGGACGGCACGGAGAGATGACGGTGAGCCGTAGTGGGAAAAGCGTCCAGAGTATCTGCGATGACGCGAGGTAGAGCTGCACGAGACGTAAGGGTAGTACAATGCAAGGGTCGTGGTTTCGATAATATACGAAGTTACTGTTGATTGAAATGCCTTGAATGTCTCTGAGGTCGAAATGGGTCATCGCGCAGAGTAGAGTGGGTGGGACGGAAAACTAGAAGTTAGTGCAGCCCGATAGAGAGCCTATTCATAGTATGATCGGGAGTCCTGCAGAAGCTCCCGAGATGAGCAGGGCAAGACAGCGCTTTCACAGGCGCCTGGATGGCTTAAAAGTGTTATTCTGCTACGAAGGAGGTAAGCTCCGACCCAGACGACGATGAGGGATACGGCGATATCGTCTTACGACTAGAGTCAAGTAACCGGATAGGCCAGATTTGGATAAACTAGTCCACTATGCATTACATTAGACGTAACTAGAAAACTACCATTATCTCTTCAAAGCCGACGGAAGCGGCATATTGAAATCGGTATGTTGATGGTTCTTTCGTAGTCCATCCAAACATGATGGGTCACACCGGAGGTGGTTTGTGACTCTTGTAAAGTGGACAGGCCGGTTACCGGTTTTAAGGCTTGTGAGATAATAGAAGTTAACGAGAGCTTCAGCGAGGTGATACTAGTAGCAGTTGATGAAACCTGATGGCATGACCGGACGAGGCTCAATATCTTCGGAGTGCAAGCTAGTAAGTTGATCAGAGACGATTCATCGCTACCTTAAGGTGGCTAGCTGAGGCTAAGTGGGATGGTAAAGAAGTATATGACAGTGCAACATGGGCATGTCTTCATAAGGAGAAGACGGCCATAAGCTGGGCTTCTAGTGGTAACGAACGAAGCACAACAAACATTAGGTACTTCTTTGTAAGCGACAGAGTCGCAAAGAAGGTAGATCAGTGTGGACTGGTGTCCACTGATGATATGGTTGCGGAATTCTGGACAAAGCCTGACAAATGGATCCTGGCTGTTCAAAACAGAGACTGTGGACAAATCTGATTGTGTTGTTGGGAAGCAACCTCAGAGCCAGCGAGGGGCCACAGATGGTACATAGGGTTAAGGTCGTGAGCCTGGGGTGGATTGTGACCCGGACAGAAGGTCCGTTCAAAGAAGGAGGCTAAGCGCAGTAAGTAAGTAAGCTGGTCGACGACTAGACAAGCTCGACGACCACAGGAGTGTGTTGGGATTCGCGATTAGGGAAGATTCAACCCCTGTACCTCTGTACTAGAATTTCACAGTAGAAATACAGAGCCCACCCACTTTTTCAGTAGTATCTCAATAGACAACAGTAACAACTAAGAGAGCTTAGAGCAACTAACAACGACAGCTATGACTGCGACGGGAAACAGAAAAAATTGTAAAGCAAAACCGAAGAGAATACACAGTGTACGGTTCATCATTGGAATAGTTGCTTCAATTGCTTTTTGACCAGTTTCCGACATCGAAGTTTCTATTTACCTCGGCAGTCTTGCTGCCAGAGCCCTCAACCCCTTTAATTGTTTTTCCTGCTACGGTGGTCCCTGCAGGTATAAGGGTAGGGTTAGAATACAAATAAGTCAGCAAAAACTAAGTAAGTATCCTAGCTAGGATGGTGCAAACCAGCTAAAGCAATTTACATCCATCATAGTAGGGGGATCTGCTTCTACCAGGAAAAACTCTAAAGCCAGCGAAAGCTATAAAACTAGTATTCTAGCTAGCTAGGGGTGTCTGCTTCTAGCTTGCTATGGGAATCTGCTTCTAGCTAGGGGGGATTTGCTTCTAGCTAGCTAAGCACAAGTTAAGCACTAGCTAAGCACTAGAGGTGTCTGCTTCTAGTTAGCTAGCTATAGGGGTATCTGCTTCTGCACTGAAACCTTTCTGCCGAGGTTACACAGCTCCGCTGGCTTAATCAATTGCAGCAAAAAGTGAGTTTACTATTAATAATAAATAATTTACTGGGATTGACAGAGACAAGCCTTCAGGCTGGAGTTCTGGTGCCGACTGCCGAGTACATGTATTCTTGTCGCTCGGTTCGACGACGAGTAAAAGTTCCCAGCAGATTAGACGAAAACATTTACTGAGTAATTAATAAGCAGGTTTCGATGGTTAATTACACCGGTTAACAAAGAAATATCACCCAGTCTTAGCGTTCTTCTATTTTTAGTTCTGTGTCCGTAAACGTCACAAATACACAGTAGTTTTAAATATTCGTATTCGATTGATCATTCACTTTTGGCCCCATTAGCCAACAGAGCAGCTATACGCAGGCAACGAAAGCCAATCTGAATGGAATCAGAGGATGCGGGATGCAAAGTTTGCCTTGCAGTTGAAACGACGAAACGACAGCAGATGAGACTTGCTTTGGCTGTAATAGAAGTGAATGAACGAAATGGCCATCGATCCCAAGTTTGCAACTCATTATTATTTGTTCCGATCGATTGACCACGTGGACGACTACCGTACGACGAGAGGGTCTGGCTGCAAGATGATGACTACCACGTACTAGAAGTAGCTAACGGTACTCCTAGCCATGATGAGTACCTAGCTAGGAGTCTACAAAAGTTGGCAACTGATCTGTTCCGATCGATAGACCACGTAGCCGATGTCGGATACCGTATGACGGCACCATATGAGCACATACCGTTTGGGCAGCTTGTCTGTGCTGGCTGCAGGAGTTGCTGCATTCGACATCTCGGTCCTGTCGTGCCTTGGCTGCCGGAAGGTACCGTACCTCAATCGCTCGATTCCAGTGCAGCCAACGTAGCTGTAGGTAGCCATTTATTGTACCGTACTAGTAGTATCGCACTTGTAAAACGTGCCCATCTGCTCCAATCCGTGGACCACGTACTCCTCGTCTGGAGTAGTAGCTACTCCGTACAGCGGTAAAGTCTGACGGTACCAAACCCTACGAGTTTGGTCAATAATTAATTAATTGTTGGTTGCTATTTTGGTGCAGCAGCTGCCGCAAGTGTCGCATTGTCCGCCCTCAATCGATTGCCATTCATTCATCGCCCTCCAGCGCACTCAAGCTTGGCGTACTGTACCACTCGACTGGCTACGGTACCGTACCGGTGTAGCAGCACCATCAGCTTACGATGTTAACTGGTTTCAATCTGCAAATAAGATTTTTCATCCACCGTCTGTTTTCAATGTACCGGTACAGCACCACATTTCGCCCTAATAACCACGTCCAACTAATCTCGCAACCGTAACCATTCGGCACCTACATTGATCCATGACAAAGATTTAAACCGTCAAGAATGAGAGTTAACTTCCATGTTGACCGGTCATGGAAATTTCACAATGGCCCCTAATGCTTGTTCGTATATGTGTCGCAGAAGCTTATAAGCCCTCCCTTTCGGGAACTGTCTGGAAACGGCAAGAAAAGCAAGTCTCCCGTTCAAGTGTTCACTACTGAGCAGCTTTGGGCCACGCGGTTCGGTCTCGTGTGTTGCCAGTTTCACAGCATTTCTTGTTGTTGTTGATTGCTTGCTTGTGACCTTTGTTTGTGTGACCCCATCATTCTTCCAGAAATCGACGAAAAAAACTTGCCCACAATTACTTGCTCTGCTCTGCTCTACTCTATCACAACTACCACTGTACAACTACAACACAAACAAAACTAAACTAAAGCTGTCTAGATGTCCCCCTCTACCGAGCTCTGTATAAGAGACAACACTAGAACAACCATGGTGGGTGGTTACCATGCTCGCGCAGATGTGCTCGTGGAATCAGACGAATCCTCGGACGACAATACGATGGATGGAGACGATATGGATTGTTCGTTTCGTCATCGAGCGTTGTTGACATCCGACGAAGCGTTTGACAAGGCATTTCGAGAGACGGATTTGGAAGACATTGAAGAAGAGCGGAATTTGTACGGAGAGCAACATGCTGTCTTGACCAAGTCGGCTTTGGCGGGTCTTTTACAAACTACGAATACAACGACTAGTAGTTCTACAAAGAAGACTTCTTCCCACTTGACCACTACAATGGAAGAAGACTATCCCATGGAATCACATCCGCGCAACATTGACGGCTTCACAATCATTGCGTTCCTCAACAGCGGCAGTGGCGGAGGTCAAGGCGCCACAATCTACCAAGACTTGGCGCGCTTGCTGACACCCGATTGTGTCTTTGATTTGCGCAAATGTTGTCAAGGCGGTCGCATGCCAGAAGACTTGTTGTTGCAGTATGCGCGGGATCCCTTCGTACGAGTCTTGGCATGTGGCGGCGACGGGACGATGGGATGGATTGAAAGTGCCATTGACAAAGTGTGGAGGACCATTTTGGGCAATAATAATGGAGATGTCCAAGAGACACCCTACGCCACGCATTTGCCACTGGCATTGATGCCTCTGGGAACGGGCAATGATCTAGCGAGGACATTTGGATGGGGCAAATCGTACAAGAGCAGTATGCGCAAACAACGACACTTGTCCAAAATTGCTCAAGCCGCTCCATCGATTCTGGATCGATGGCGATGTGTCATTATTCCAGATGCCAAATTGGACGAAAAGGCAAAGTCGTGGGTTCCAAAAGTATTGGCAGAGACCACCACTTCGCTGTCCTTTAATAATGACTCTTCCTATTCCTCCTCTCATCCTCAGCAAGACACTTCCGATCATCAAGACCATAGCGGCAATCGTCACAACAAGATGATGACCAACAACTCCAACAATTCCACAAGACCCTCCAATGCTAGTACCATGGCACTCCTCGAAGGCATGTTCAGAGATGCGTCCATAAAAGAAGAGCCATTGCCACAACTGCAACCTCATCAACAACCACATCCACAACAAGACTGTCCCAGCAGTAGTATGGAACTCGACAACAATGACCCCGGAGTACAAGTCTTTGATGGCGTCTTTTGCAATTACATGTCCATTGGATTCGATGCCGAAATTGCCTTTTCGTTTCACAAGGAACGAGAACGATATCCACATCGATTTCATCATCCATTCAAGAATAAACTCGTCTATGTCAAGAAGGCCCGCAAGGCATTGCTGTCACCCAAACTCCACGATAAAGTCAAAGTACTCGTGGCCGATAAGGACAATGGCAATAAATTGCGAGAATTGGCCGTCCCCAAAAATTGCAAATCCATTCTCATACTCAACATTCAATCGTATGCTGGCGGCAATCAATTGACACGCGTCAACGATGGTATTTCCTACGACGATGGACTCATTGAAGTCATTTTTTGTTCTGGAGTCGTCCGCATGGCCGCGGCCGCCGTCATTCCTCTCCTCAAATGCCAAGTCGCCGCACAATCCAATCGCGTTTGTATTCGAACGTCGCAACCACTCCATTGTCAAGTCGATGGAGAACCCTGGTTGCAAGACAAGGGATTCTTTCAAATCAGTTACTCGTCCAAAAATGCTTTTCTTACCAAACAAAAGCAAAAGCGAAAACACAGCAGCAAACGAACCAAACAACAACAACAACCTTGGAATTGCATGACCGCCGGCTCTGCGATTGACACCAGTCGACACGAGAAAAATGACAACCAACATGCCGTCGTGGTGTAGCTAGCTGCGTCATGCATGTTTGTATATATGATGGAATGATTGGCAAGATGCGGCTTGATACGATCGGGTCGGCTGAATGAATTGACAGGCAGGGACGAAACATTAATCATTGTTCGATACGATCGGCAACTCGCAAGAAGCGAGCGCGTCGCTCTGCCTTCGGATCGAATCGAACAACGTTCGCGCAGAGGAGCCAAGGGAGATTTGGGCACAAACTACGAGGCTCTCTGGCTAGTAGCGTATGTACTCGCTGTCTCGGATGCTATCTGGCTGGGTGCTCACAACAACAGCTCGCCAAAACAACATCATCCCAGCATCAAGCAAGCAGACAACCTACGTCGGCCGAGATTACGAGCCAATCTGGTTGCCATTGTGTCGTTTGGCCCCACGTGCCGTGTCGTACGGAGCTTGATTGGGTCAACGAAATGACACCTTTCTCTCTCGTTGGCTGGTGTGCTCGATCGTCGTATCCAAAAGTACATGTCTGCACAAGAAAGCTAGAATACACAAACGAACGAACGAAGTTACCTGAAATGCACTTTTGGATTGAATCATTGAACGGGACTAAAGCCATCTGACGGCTTAACACTGGCGTTCTATCCATGATGCACAGTTTTAAAAAATTAACTCAATCTGCATACATACTTCAACCGCTTTTTAAAAAACGGAGCGAGCTACTAGTACGAATCGTAGCCACACCTGCACTGGTGTTTGTCCTCTGTCTAGCTAGACCAAACGCAACCAAATAGCATGATGCAATCGCCCGGGGCAATGGCTGCAGAGTACCGTGAATCGTCGTACAATATAGCTTCCTGTAAAGTGTGGAGCCCGAATCTAGATGTAGCCACCCCCACCCAACCCGTTGTGGCTGGACTTTGCAATCTTAATTCTCCCTTCTGGCAGCTCTTACTGCACTGGTCGTCGTCATGAGGCGGTGCAAACGATGCCGTGTCCAATGCAACCCCAACATACTACTGCTACGGTAAAGGGCATCGGATATCCACGTGCAGCCACTTTGTGACCACAGCAGGTCATTCGAGGATCCATTGATCATCAGAACAAAACTTGCCTACCCGGCCCAACCGATCTGCTGGGACTGCAGAACGATCCAGGGTCAGGCATTCCAAGGGACCAAGGGAACCTGCGGTCCAAACCGGAATATCTTGGAGAGAGGAAGCAACTGCATGTCCGTGTGGTGGCAGCAACACCGGCAATCTGATTTGCCTGGAGGAGTGCAGGCATGGGGTTGGCTGAGTGAGGTCACTCACGTATTACACACACCACAAACAAACCTGCGTACTGCCAGGAGGAAGTCTTGTACATCCCAAGCAGGAGCGGACCCCAAATTTAGGTAGGTTGCTTTGCAAGCAGTTCTTGCTGCAAGGTATTGAATTATGATTGATTGGAGTAATGATTGCCATGCTACTACTGAGTAATAGCTACTCTAAACCCCGGTTACCGGTATGCTATTTAAAATGGCTACCTACATGTAGCTAGACCTAGACCTTGACTTTACCGATAGGTTTGCAAACAGTTCTTGCTGTGACAAGGTAATGGTCCAATGGTACGGTACCGAACTTCAACATAGGGACAAGAAAGGAGCTATCTAACGGCTGAATGAATGTCACAGCTGAAGCTCAGCTGATATCTTTTAGAGATGCACGGGTATTCACACTTCCCCTTGGCCGTTAAAGAGAGCAGAAGGGGCTCGTTGATTTAATTAAGAAAGGGGATTGTGTGGAGCTTCTTATAAAACTGGTTTCTGCAAGGTCCCGAAGCATGCAGAATTCCCTTTTTGACAGTTTCTCAAATGAGAAAGTAGTTGCTCAAATGAGAAACTAAGGCCGCTCTCTACCAGAGGGACTAAAGTAGCGACTAAAGGAATCCTTTAGGTGGTTGTTTAGTTCAAGATTTAGTCATTATCCTTTAGTAATGGTGGTGTCTACCAGCAGATGACTAAATCTCGGACTAAACAATTTAGTCAGTTCTTTAGTCATTTGACCTGTCTACCCAGAGCACTAAACAAATGACTAAACGGAACACTAGTGGACTTAAAGGACTCAAAAAAAGATTTAACAAAGTATCTTGGTGGGCTACCAATATTCTATCAGCATGGTGATTTAAAGGACTCAAACAAAACTTAAAAGAAGTGATTACTTTTTGAGATAACAAGACTGAGATAACAAGACTCAAAACACACCATTGCGATGCACCCTCCTCTGTCATTCCATCGTTCGATCGTTGCACCTCTACTATCATTCAGTCAAAGGCCGAGAATGAAAGCCATCCCGCACTCCATACTCTGCAATGAGGGATGGCTTTCTATTCTCAACCGAAGACTGTCGGCTTGATAAAGGGTATAAGTGCGATAGAGGTGCGGCTGATACTCCTCTTCGATCGTTCGATCGTTCGATCGTTCGATCTTCGATCGTTCGATCGCACTCTACTATCAGCCGATATCCTCTTCGGTCGTTCGATCCGATACTCTCTTCGATCGTTCGATCGGTTGCACCTCTACTCTATCAGCTCTGTCGCGATCTCTGATAGTGAGGCTGTGAATGAGGGTGCTGTTCTTTTTCAAAGTGCTGTTCTTTTTTAAAGTGTGTTCTTAAGAGTTCTTAAAGAGCTTTAGAAGTCGTTATGTTCGCTCACCGACTAACCAGCCTCCCGTTAGTCGGTGAGCGAACATAATGACTAAAGCCTTTAGTCCGTGGGACGTTTAGTCGCTTGGGTAGACACCACCCTCAGAGACCAAACTATCGACTAAACTACGAAATATGGCTTAGTCGCTACTTTAGTCGCTTGGGTAGAGAGCGGCCTAAGTTCTGAAATGAGAAAGTTAGTTTCTCATTTGGTCGAAATGAGAAACTATCTTTTGAAATGAGAAACTATATAAGAAACTGCTTGTACATTTGTTGTGATTTCTGCCAGAAATGAGAAACTATTTTATCAAATGAGAAACTAAAACTGTTAGTTTCTCAAATGAGAAACTAAAAATGAGAAACTAAAACTAAAAATGAGAAACTAAAACTGTTTGAAAAATTTCAAAACATCATTGGTGTTTCCCGACCTTGCTGTTCTCGTTAAATCTGCTTGGTACCACACTCTTCTTTTCACTTGCTCAAATTAAGTCAGCGGGAGCTGGGATACCTCGGCAGAAAGACAGATAGAAGAATGATAACATGTTTGAGATTGCACCCTTCTTTTAAGGTAGCCCTGGCGGCAACACCCGACTTCGTCGTGTAACACCCGACTTCGTCGTGTGTTGCCGCCCGCTAACCATAATTTTACAGCTGTCACTCCCGTACGTACCTGTAACTTTTGTAGCTTCTGCTGGATTATTGTGTTGAGCGCACTAACCTTGAATAATCATGATTTATTCCTACCCCTAAATTGTAGAGTTGGCTTGTGCCTATCTCTATCCCTATATTTTGGCTTCACCGGAACAGGAAACAGGAAACAGGAAACAGGAAGCAGGAAATACCAAAAAAGGGGGTGAGGGCTCAGGCAGATAGACTGCCGAGGTAAATGCTCAGCTTTTTACAGCCGAGCCTGCTTGGGACAACTCCACATCACAACATTGCATTTGATCTGTTTGCCTTGACTGCTTTGAGACTGCCTTGTACTAGTAGCAGCTTTTGTAGACCTGCGTAGTTGCCTGGTTGATCGGCCCTTTCGCTGCTGCTTTCAACAACGCTCTACTTTCTTTCTACTTTTCTTTCTGATTTTCTGCTGGTCTGACCATGAGCAACTCGTTGTCGTTCCTCGATGGTGTGCCTGAGGAGGTGCCTCTCGCCGCTGCATTCTCCAGTCTTTGGAAAGACAAAGAACTGCACGATGTGAAGCTTAGAGGAAACGATGGTACCATTACTTCCGCCAACCGCTATGCACTATCTGTTCGAAGCGATGTCTTCCGAAAGATGCTCCTTGGTGGCTTCAAAGAGTCCTCCGACAAAGAGGTAGAGTTGCCATACAGCGGCCCTGTACTGGAAGCGCTTCTGGACTACATTCACACTGGTTCTACCAAGCTCGTAGTCGATCCCACGACTGCCAAAAGCATAGAGAAAGTGGATCAAGAGCTTGTGCTTGGTTTGGTGTCCTTGTTGGAAGCATCCCTGTTCTTCCAGCTCCCAGATCTGTGCAAGAAAACGTACAGCTCGATGATGCAGCTCCTGGATGTGATACCATCTCTAAGCTTTGTGGTAGTGGAGGCATGCATGGAGTATGGGCCCACTGTTCCTCAAGAAATTGTTGCTCATGCCTTTACTATCATCCAAACCAATGAAGAATGCATCAAAGAAGACAACTCCTGGGTGGCAGTCATCAGTGCTCCGACACTGGAAGCCATTTTCAAATACGACAGCACAATTAGAGGAGACCAGTACCTGTTATGTGAAATCCTGCAGTGTTGGGTAGAAGAAGACGAAGAACGAAAGGCAGTGGCACGCGAGCTGGTACAAAAGCACATTTGTTTGGAGGAACTTGACCCAGAGTTTCTGACCTCCTGTGTAATGGCATCTGGTATTGCGACAACTGAACACTTGCTGAGTGCATTTCAGACCCAATCGCTTGCTGCTAGAGAAATGCACGGAATGTTCTTACGGCAATGCAAAGATGCTGTGTGGACCAGTTCGGGAACCGCAATTGCAACAAGTGAGAATCTCAAGACTGACCTCTTGAAGTATCCCGCCATCAAGGAAGGAACTGTTCAATGGACAGTGGAGATTATGGATCATTGTGATGCTAAGGATGTTTGGCTTGGGGTTGTAAAGGCAGGATGTCCAACGTATGGAGATGTTTGTGCTAGCTACACCACTGTTGGTGGAGGCGTTGCATACGGTGGTTGTGGAATGGTGTTCCACGCAGGCAATCTAGTTCATCGGGACCTCCCAAAACTGACAACCGGTTCAAGTGTTACTTTGACATTGCACGTTCTTGAGAATGGTATCGAGCTATGTGGATCGGTCGATGGTGGTCCTTTGTTCCAAATCCTTCAAGCAATCCAGGGGCATGCAGAAGGCTACGTTCCTGCTGTTGCCATGGCTGTCCCTGGTTCTGTGCGTCTGGAAAATATCAAGCTACTCAAGAACATCTGAGTTGGTACCAACTCAGTGGAAGACGGCAAGCTGGCAACTTCGCCGTAGCGACATGAATCAATTGGACATTCAATTGAGAGAAAACTTCACAATCCAACACATGCCACTAACATCCATTATTTAGAGTGACGAGTCCATCTTTCCTCTCTTTTGCTCATCCGCTTTCTCTGAATCGTCTTCATTTGAAATGCATTGCTTCAAGGAGCTCCATTGATTACCAACTAACTTTCCAGCTAGCTAGGCTAGCATCACCAACGTTGTTCAAGAAGGCTTCGTGCCGGGACGATTTAGCCAAGAGTCGGGGTTCAGGACTCGAGTTTGCCGCTCTCTCCTACTAGTAGCTAGTATTCGTTGATGATACGGCAGCTTTATAGACTAAGCTAGCTAACTTTGTCATTATTGTACGATACGGCGTTGGTCCAAGAGTATGAACAGGATTTTCTCCAGGCGAGGTGTCGGACCGGGTGGTGCTTTGATGTTGGGCCGTGCAGCCAGGCACCTGGCTCGGGCTACGACTGTACTGACAAGTAGCCACCAACTCGACCTGGCGTTCAATAGTTCAAAATGCCGCTTTGCTGGATTGAAACAGTTTTGCCGCCAATTCACCCGTGACTTGACACTTGACGATGGCACTGTTCTCAAAACCAGACGAAGAGACGGCAACTCAAACAAGCAGGAAAGCTGCACTAAAGCAGGGGCCTTCCTATCGATGGTTGACTTGAAACTCTAAAAGACCCCAACGTCACAGTTGTCTCCATAAGACTTGAATAGAAAAAGGAAATCACCGCCAAAATGACAACGTTGGAAGAATCGAATGAGGAAACAAAGAGCGCGCCACCGGCAGAAGCAGTGGACGTAGAGAAGACCACAGAAAAGAAGGCCACAGAAAAGACTACAGAAGGGACGACAGAGTACCACGAGGACGGGGATGTTCTCGAGGGCAATCCAGGCTGTTGCGACAATGTCTATGTCAATACGTATCGATCACTTTGGTCTCGGAATGCGATTTTTTCCGTCCTCTCCTTGAATGCCTTTATTGGCTTTTGTGTGTTGAATGGCATCTTTGCCTTTTTCAGTGTCAATGCCGCCTTCTCCATTTTCAGCGTCAACTCTATCCTTTCCATTGCCAGTATCAACAGCATGCTTGCATTAGGATGTTCCGGGGAAACCATGAAAATATGTGTGTGAAACATGAGCAGCACTAGCTATGCATAGCTGCAGTACGGTAAAAGTGCAGGGTGGGCAACAAGCAGGTACCACAAGTAGTGTGTAAGGATGTAATGCCAAGCTCATGTTCGAGGGAAGAGGATGGTTGCCCCGAGTACTATGTATGTATTGTGTGTCAAGTTCCCGTGCAAATGTCTAGCACGTAGTTAGCCAAAGACGGCAGTTCAGCCCGGGAAGCAGCAAGAGGAGGCTCAGCTTGCAAGTAAGCAACAGCAGGTCCCCAAGTAGCAGACGTGAATACATGTATGTAATCTATCTTTTTAGTATTTTAAAAAGCTTTGTATGTTTGACTGGATTTCACGTGAATCGTTTTCCCTTTTATAGCTCATTTGCTATTGCATTAGATGGCAGCATCCATCATAGTTTGGTTATGAACGAGCTCGGATCCTTTGCCGCCACGACGTTTGTCCCACAAACGTTCAATGATTCCCGACAATCGACCGGATCCATCACCACCCGCACTCTTGTCGTCCATCAATCCTTGGTCATCACCGCCGTCGTCATGTGCCAATGGCGTTCCGGCAATGGATTCTTGCAGTGCCTCCAAATCGGCCGCGGATGGTTTGTAAGCAGCACTCTTGCTGTTGCGGCCAAAGTACTTGTCGGGGATTCCCACCAGTACCGCCTTTGGAATGCCAGTGTCCACTTCTTCTTCGTCATCACTGCAGTAGTCTTCTTCCGTGACCTTGGAGAGTCGGTACATGGCCGAGGAATGACGTCTTGGCTGTTCTACGACAGTCGTCGTCGTCATCATCAAGGTGGCCGAGAGATCGGGCAAGGACCGTCGCGTGGGCTTGCTGCTGCGGCAGACTTGATCGAGTTCTTCTCCTTCCGCGGTATCAACGTCTTCCATCATATCATCATCTGGAGCTTGACTCATGCTGCTCAAGCTGCCACTGGGCATGGTGAGAGTGGAACTGGAGGACGACAAGAGTGTCGAGTCCATCGTGTCCAGAGTTCCGACGGACGACCAGTCTCCGACACGATGAACCACACCACGGGGCTTGGAAGGTTCCTCCGCGGTTTCCTCTTGTGCAGCAGTAGTGGCAATGACTACGGGAGCTCTCTTGACGGTTCCATGGGAATGGGACGATCCGTGAAAAGAATCGTCCTTCCAATCGAGAGGCTTGGGGCTGTCGCTTCGTCTGGTGGGACTCTTGTTGGATTGGCTACTGCCTCCGTCCTTGGGTGGCGATGCGGTGCGGACCTTGGGAACACGAGTGACGAGCTTTTTGGTGGTTGACTTGCTGTTACTGACACTCGATTGCTGTAGGACCTTGACGGCTCGTTGATCCATGAGTGCCCGAGTGCGTGCCTGTTTGCGCGACTTGGCAGATAGCTTTTGACACTGTTTGGAAAAGACGGCAGGGTCCAATGCTTGCAATCGGAGCGTCTTGGAGAACTCGGTGCGGAGCTGTTCGTAAGTGGTTTCGGCCTGTGTGGTACGAGCCTCTAATCCTCGTGTGGATTCTTCGTCTTGTGCTTGCGTTGATGATTCCGTAGAAGAGGACGAGGACGCTGCTGCGTGAAGGTGAGTTCCCTGCTGTTGTTGTTGTTGTTGCTGCTGTTCTAGAATGGCAATCTGTGATGCGTACTGTAGCTTGGCGTCATTGAGTGACAAGTAGGGATGCCAGAGTGCTTTTGATTCTTCGTCATTGGCGACATGTTGGTACTCATGAACTTCAAACATCTGTCGTGAAGCGGCTGGAAAGTGCACCGAGTGTCCCTTGCGATTGTGTTTCTTTTGTTGATGATGATGTTGTTTGGAACAGCCACAACAATCTTCTTCGACAGAAGAACACGAATACGAGCAGCCCATGGACGAGCGGCCGGTGCCGTCGGTTTGCCAGGACACATCCATTCCCGTAGTGGTTTGTGCGCGGCTGGATGCGTCCTTGGTTTGCTGCTGCTGTTGGTGCTGCTGGAGATCCTTTCGAATGTCTCGTTCGTCTTGAATCGCTCGTTTGCGTGCGAGTTGCTTGGCCTTGTGTGTGACTTCGAGTGAGACAAAGGCGATGCGTTGTTCATCGACCGGTTCGTCCATGGGCAACACGAGCCATTGTCGGTCTTGTTCGTCCAAAACCACGGTGCGACAGGTCTTGCGCCATCGAGCACGTTGGGCCGAGCCACACGCCGTGCGTCGTTCCAACCCACGACAGGAAAAGGTGGCAGACTCTTTGGCGCCGTGTTGTTCGTAGGCAGTAACGTCGCACTGCAGTTGATGGAGCATCCATTGCATGTCATCGTCGCTGTAAAACAAACGGTCCACGGCGCGCGTCGAACGAGGAGTCAAATACTCGACACACGTCAATTTGTCATCGCTGGCAAATCGGACACTCTTCTTCACTTTCTTGGTCTTCTTGGTCTTGCTCTTACTCTTGCTCTTCTTCTTCTTGACGTCCTTCTCCTTCTCCACTGAAGGCGAAGTGGGCTTGTTGGACTTGGACGTGCTGGGGCTCATCATCTTGTCCTCCTCGATCTCTTGCAATAGCAGTGTCGCCTTTTCCATCAATAGAGTCTCCTCTGCCAATTCGTCGTCCATCAGCAAATCCATACTGGTAGATATCAATACTTGGTTCATCTTGGTCTACTGGTCTAGCTAGTCTAGTTTATGATCAACCACACAACCGGTCTTGTTTGATTTCCTCACTGGCTTTTGTGGGCAAACGGCACGCCAAAAGGTGAATCGAATCTTTCAGTTGAGTGTTGTACAGTATTGTGTGAGTGAGTCTCAGTCTGTGAGTCGGTTTTCGTCCATCGATGGAACTCTTGCTGACATTGCAGGTTCCAAGAGAGACTCGAGAATCGAGAAAGTCCCTTCTTGGTTCAACTTGGCACGCACACAATAAAAGCGAATATTGCTCCGGAGTACTTCAAGGTAAACAGTTAAAGCTTGATTTAAGTATCAATGACTGCAAGAATGACGCCAATAAATCAATCGTTCAGTTGCCAAAGTCAGTGAGAGAACCAAAACAATCTTGCGTAAGAACTTCGGACTCCTTTGACCTCAGCCAAAATCGATGGGTGCAACTCAAGCAAACAGTTCATCACAATTCAATATTTTGGATGCACCCCAGATCTACAACAAGGTCACCTGCTCGTTGTGTTATGAACGGTCATCTGCACACACATCGCTTCCCGTGTCCAAGAGAACCAGAGGAATAGCAAGACGCTGCCAAATTTATATTATAGTGCCAAGAGTCACTTATATAGAGTTAGATATATCATTCATTTCCCAGCGCGTTGTTAAGCGAAGTGGAAGAATGACTCTTTGATACTCTTGGATTCGTTCAGATTTGGTGGGAATGGCCCCTGCTTCCAAGGCGATCTCGGTTTTATGATACACTGTAGCTTCTCGGTTCGAGGTTTCACTGGCCAAAGGACAGCTGGAACATTGAGGTAGATGCGGTAACCATGATCTTTAAAAAATATCATAATATAGAAATATGTTTACCTGTACTACCCGTGCAATTTAGGTCGTTGCTGGTAGCCAGCAGATTGGCTAAGATTGCGGTACATATGGATGCTGAGTCTGCCTGGGACCAACTCTGCGCACTTATTGTTGGCAACAAACATCTCCCTCCTTGTTTCAATAAGCATTGGGCCACGTTGCGGTGTGCAGTGCCTACTATAATAAGGCACATCTGCAGCCAAATCATCCACCATTGCTTCCGTTTGAGAGTTGAAAGGAAAGGGCCTCATAGCTCATAAAGGTTTCAATGAAACTTACTTACCTCCTCTAGCTAGCTAGCTCGTTAGGTCAAGGGGTCAGGTCGTAGTGCCAAATCTAATCTGTATGGACACATGGGCATCTCAAAAAGACAGTTAACTACATGTAGCTATCTTTCAGAGCAATGCCCGCATAGACACCTACTACCGGTAGTAGCTACACCGTACCATACCAGTACCGTACCTGGTAGCTACGGTAGCTCGTTCAAAACCAACAATCAAATTTTACCTTGGCTGAGCAACATGCCGCTGAAAAGCGGCCAAGTGCTTGTCTTCGCGGTTGCAGCTTTGTTCCGACTTGCCAATGCTTGCACCAAAGTGGTCCGACTGTGGAAAGTGCGAATAATGGAAAGATTTAGAAACTACTAATGCTTCAAGTCACGGCAGATGGTTTGGATACCAGATGCCCTTGTCGCTGGGTGACCTTCTCCCGCTCACACAATTTTGATACCAGATGCCAAAGGCGCATCCACCCGGCAGCTCGGCACATGCACTGCTCGTCATGAACTAGCTAGATCCAGGCAAGGCAAGACAAGGCAAGACAAGGCAATGATCAGCAGCAGCCGTCGTGATGAGATCGCATTCTCCTCCCAGGACTATAACAACCACTATCAGCCCCAACTTTTATCTGCGCGACAACAATGACGACGACCAACAATACACCCTCGACACTGCGAACGACGCCGCAGCTCCCAGCCAGCAAGGATTGCTCTTTTTCAAGACACTCTACTTTTTGGAAGGCTTTAGTGCCACCAATTTTGGTCGATTCGCCGTGCTGTACTTTTCCAAAGAAAAGAATTTATCATTAACGGAGATTGGTACCATTCAAGGCGTGACGCCGTTTGCCGCGTTGGGCGCACAAGTCTTTTGGGGATGGCTCGCCGACGAAATTCAAAGTCGCAAGACCGTCATGGTGATTTGCAAGTTCTTTAGTACCGTCTTGCTCATGTCGCTGGCGTTTCCGTTTGTGGAGAGTTTTACGACGATTTTCATTCTTTCCGCGGCCATTTCGGCCTTTCGATCGACGCCCGTGTTGGATGCGCACACCATGGACTTGTTGGGACCTCCACATGCCACCATGTACGGGACCATTCGCATGTGGTCGGCCATTAGTATGGCATTGGGGGCCGTGGCGGTGGGACAAATGACAGACTTTTACGGATTCGCCATGGACTTTTTCCTCTACGGATCCATGATGACACTCCAACTCGTCGCATTGCTCGCGGGATTGCCCAAACGCACCGATTCGGAGCACGAAATCTACCAGCAATTACTCCATCAACACAAAGAACACGATGCCAAAGAGATTGAACCAGATGACAATGATGACACTGTCGTAGAAGCATCGGTGGAACCACATCAGTATAATGCACTCGGTGATACCCTGATGCGAGCATCGGTCATTTACTGGCTCTCGGAAGTTTCCATCTTGTGGGCGGGAATGTCCATTGTCGATAGCTTTCTATTCGTCTACATGCAACAAGACTTGCAAGCATCCACGTTGCTCTGTGGATACACAGTAGGCGTCACAGTCCTTTGCGCTTTGCCCATTTTCCACTACTCCAAAGAATTGTTGGAATGGCTCGGACACGACATGATCCTAATGCTTTCTATGGCATCCTTCTCCACACGTGTGGTGGGATACTCCTACTTGACACCCGACACGGTGCAATGGATCTTGTTGCTGGAGATACTGGAAGGCGTCACGGCTTCTTGCGTCCCCATCATCATGGTCGATTATGCCGATTGTATTGCTCCCAAGGGATGGTCGACCACGATTCAATCCACGGTCAATGCCGTCATTGTTCGGATTGGAGGAGGAGTGGGACCTCTCATTGCCGGGGCTGTCATGGACGCCTACGGCGGACGAGCCATGTTTCAAGGACTGGGCATTCTGGCCGGATTGCTGCTTTACCTGCACTTGACTGTCATGGCGATTGGTGGAGTGGCACATGACAAGTTCCTATACAATCTGCAAGAAGAACGGATGGAAAAAGCTCGTGGAGGCGGAAGGAAACTGCTAACTACAGTCTAACGAGGCGGTAGAGGCCTGAGCGAGGAGAAGGGACGATAGGTATCATTGACAAACGGGCTCTTTTATGGCCAAGTAAGTAAGTGTGCAACACCCATGGCTATCTAAAGGTTGCCCCGAATTGTGGCTCCTCGCTACAATGCATAACATCGAGCTGTTTCCATCATTTCCCTCAGTCTTGGCGTGGAAGCGTGTCTTGACGGCAAGAAGGCAGTGGGTGCGATCGAGTTGCCTCGTCAATCTATAGATACGGGCTTGGAACATGGCATGGATCAGTTGCAATTGCGTTTGATGATTCATCGGGAGGGGCCACTCGATCGAGTGAGTCCTCTCTGTTGCAGCCAAACCTGCCAACGACTGAATTGGCTGGCCTGCACAGCTCAGTACCCTAAAGTTTCAAAAGCTGGTTGATGCTATACTAGTGGAATATGCATGGATCAATGGTAGCAACCGGTTCATATCTAGCTAGCAGTATTTCGGTGAATATTTTGGCATCATTGTCGATGTCGTTGATACTGGCCCAGCACCTGGACCAGTGCTCTCCTTCAATTTTGGTCCCACACCAGGATGCCCCCCAAGGACACACTCCTCTTACATAATATCCCCTGTGCAACACCTGCTCAGCCAGCACTACCAAGGCGTTTTCTGGGATCTACCCCAGGAAGTCCATGCATTTCCAAGTGCTGTACAACTCCTGGTCCAATCAATAGCTGCTAGCCCCAATTCCGGCCAAATAGATAGCCCTATCGGTACGCATGGTACTATGGTACCCCTGGGTAGACTCGTGGCCTAAAATAGATGGATCCCATGCCGGGCAAATAACCTCGTCAATACCTGGAAAACAGCGGCTAGCTACGTTTTGCTTTGACGGCTGCCGCGCGTATGGGTTGCCCTTATGAGATGCTCTCTCCGTTTCGTCTTTGCCTATAGCCGGGCAAGGATGCTGCAACAAGTGCTTAGATTCCTGTGCAACGACAAAGCCACATCGTCATGGTTGGATCCAATTTCGTAGAGTTGACGGGGGCTCCGATTTCGATAAAATTTTAAAATTTATCTTGACTGGTTCTGCCGCGATTAAGAAGCGATCCGAGTGACGAAGCCCAGTGTTCCCTGTCTCGGCTACTGAAATTCTCAGTAATTGTCCTGCGTGGGTGCTGATGCTCACTTTTTGCTCACTTTTTGGCAGAAACTTCGCCTCTCCTTATGGTCCTGCTGCAACCTCCTGTGCGTCATCACCACCCTCTTGCCGATGGTCTCCAACAACCTTGGATCATTTCTACTATCTAGTATTGTTTTGGGAAACGCACAGATAGATGCGTGTCGATTTCATGTATCCGTTTACAGGAATCAGTGATGAAACTGACTGGTGGAGAGCTTGAATTTCATTTTCAGCTCACTCTGCCTTTGCAGCACAGTGCGAATGACTTACTTATCCTGCAACCTATCTGCTGTAATTGACAACAATGAAAGTAACAACGTAAATTGACTGACATTCAAAAGCTGATGGTGCCTCTACCTTGGAGCAAGAGTCAAGTCGCTTTTGGCGGTGGATGGCAGAGGATGCCAGGTATCTCATTCGATGGTCACCACGACTCCTTGGTAGTCAGTATCTGACGGCAATGACGGTGTCTTATGCCAGCCAAACTGAAGCATTGGCGCAGTGCGGCTACACAGATAACTTGAAGCAACAGCACCGTTTCGGTCCAACAAAGATTAGAGCCGCACCGTACCTGTATGGTAATGAGTGGAGCAAACACTTGGTGGAAGTTTTACATCGGTTACTATGAAGTGCACTTGCTACAAACTAAATCCTCTTGATGATATGATAGTATCGTCTATGCATACCACATCGAGTCACGTAACATTAAGCATGGATAACACACAATACAGTATGATGCCCTCCCCGGCATGCAGAAGCAAACGCACAACAATGCCCTCGTTCTGCTCAAAAACAAAAGGAGCAGCAGGGGCAATCCAAGTCTTGTGAACTGTGACAGTCCAGAGTCAGTTCTGCTAATGGCGATGGACCCACGCAAAGCTCCAGAGGGACAGGGCCAATAACATCGTTGAATTGCAGGGACACGGCGTTTAAATGGGGGAGGCTTGCGAGTTCCACGGGTATGGATCCCACCAGGAAGTTATTGTCCAACCGAAGTTCAGAGAGCTCGTGTAAGTCTTGAATATGTGGGGAGATACTTCCGGTCAGCATGTTGTTGCTAAGGTTGAGAGACGTCAAGTTGCCAAGACTATAGATTTCGGTTGGGATGGAGCCTCGGATCATGTTGAATTCAAGGCTCAGTGCTTCCAGCATGGCCAGGTTTCCCAGCTCTGATGGCAAAGGCCCAGAGATCTTGCCCACGGGGAGTTTCAGTGATCGAAGGTCTGACAAATGTTGCAGTTCGGCTGGGAGGGTACCAGCGAGATCGTTGTTTTCTGCGAAAAAAAAGAGACAATCAGTCCAATGACGAGGTAAGAAAGACATCATGAGGGGTTCCTCAGAAACCGTTCCTGGTTCTACTCACCAACTCCAATCCCCACAACTCGATCCTGATCGTCACAGGTGACCCCGCCCCAGTGACATTCAGATGCACCCGTCAACCAAGCCAGTGCAATGCCGGAAACATTGGAGGATGTAACGTCTGAGCTTCGGCTGACAGTGGCGAGATCCTTCTCAAAGTTTGATAGGGACTCCAAAGATTTGCAACGATTGTTGGCATCTTCGACATTGCGGTCCGAGAAAAAGTACTCGGGAGCGCTGCATAGTTGCCAGCCTTTGCCTTGGGTGCTGTAGTAAAAGACAGCCAAAAGATATCTTTGGACAATGGAGGCTTCGTCCCAGTGCGAAGGGCACAAGGTGGGCGAATCGGTTTCCACGAGCCATTGGAATGCCCTGTGCTGTGGACTTCCAGCAATGCGCAGAGCCGTTCTGTTGGTGAATCTGCGGACCATTTTTTGCAGCAAATAGTCTCGGTATTGGTTTTCTTCTTGACAGTCATCCCATCTCAAATCATCGTCACCAATAATTTTATTGTCACTCACGTTGCGCAGAGGAAGCAAGTGATCCTCTGCCAGGCCGTCGAAACTATCGCTGCTGCTGCTACCTAGACTATCAGGATCGTCTGCCGACGAATAACCCAACCGGACCCCCAAGACCCCTGAACCTCGTGCACCGTTGACCAACATGCTGATTCCCCCAGCAATAAGGCCTCCGATTAGCAGCAAGACACACCCAAAAAGAAAGGTTGTGACGGCACTCTCCTTTTCCTGGTTGTGATTGTTATTATTTCTACTCTCGGCATTGGTGGTACCGGTACTGGTATCATTGGTATTAGCTAAAGGAGGAAACTCTGCTTCACCAAATTCAAAGACAGGATCCAGTGCATGCCGAGAAGAGGCAGGTTGTCGTGGGGGAGTTTCCACGTCCACAATGTTGGTTTCTATTGTACTACTGCTCACATTATTAGCATGGATGGTGGAAGCGTGCAAGGGGGAAGTAAAGGAAAAATAGGAGGCTAGAGAGTGTGAAAAGTTCAAATGTTCCTGGTTGAACCCATTCATTAGATTGTCCTCTGTGAGGGACCATGATGTTTCCATGGAGTTTGATCTACTAGTCGTAGAGCCACTGCTGGATTCCTGTGAAGGGGACAAAAACAATCTTCTGCCTCTGCTTTCCCCAGATAACATGGAGGAAATCATGGAAGAGTCAGCCGCTGCTCTGCTCACGGTGATCGGAGAAGATGTTGAATTTATCATGGTTTGCCAACTAGCTACTAGCTTGCAGAGATCGTGATTTGGATACTACTGTAGTAGAAACAACACCAAAAGATCGGATGAGCAAGCAAGGAATGAGAGAAAAGTGCAATGATGGTAGTTGTCCCAGCTGAGGACAACCATCAATAAGATACCTCGATCAGCACTCTGGTGTTGCTGTTGGGATGAACGTTGACCTCAGTCCACTCCAACGTATGCCTCCCTTGACTTTCCGTCATTGTTAATAGATTGCAGCTTGTGTCGGCAGCGTCTTCTAATTGGTTTTTGCAGGTGGCCGTCATCGTCTAAGTGATTTTCGCACCAGAATGCTCCACCTTCAATCAAATAATGTGCTCTGGCCCTTTAGACTTTAGACCATTATTTGTCACTATTCTTCTAGCTAGTCTTGTCACCGCTTCCATGATACTTAGCCAAAGTTGGATGTCACAATGACGCACCATCAGATATCGATAAAGGAATGAATCAATCAGACCGATTGTGACGGCGGTATCACTAGCTCCTCTAGTAGTACTATTTTAAAATAGTACTATTAGCTTTTTAAAAAGCTACTGGAGTAAGCTTTTTTTAGAATGTACCGGTATGTGTTGTTCTGATTTTACTAACAAACCTTTGCTTCTGGAAAGCCTTTTTCGAGAGAAAGTGTGGCCGCTATCCTGCCGCTTTGCCTCTAACCCTACCGTACTAAAGCAATTCCCGCGTTATCGCTGATCCGCTTGGGTTGTTCCGATTGCCTCGCTTGGCTGGTTCCGATTATCGATTGGGTTGTGCCGACATGCAACCCTCCTCCTCGCTGATGGCGACCAGAGCTATCGACGAGTGATCTCAAGCAATGATACCAAACCAACTGCAAAGCCTTCTCCAAAAATCTCCAATTCTAAGTACCAAATTCCTGACAAGGTTTGTAGCGTTGTATGAATAGCTTTTGTGGGAGTGACAGTCGGAGGCGGATTATCGAATGATTGATTCGATCTTTTCATAAACCTTGTTCCAGCAATCCTTACACACCGGAAACCGGAACAAAACCAGCCATCAGATAGATAGATACCCAGACAAAGATGGTAAAGACGTCAACCCTTAGCATGCTTGTAGCGTGCCCCTTCCTTGCCTTGGGTGTTCAAGGCGAGGGTGCAAACGTCACATGCCCCGAATACCGACAATTCAACCCCAGCCGTTTCGAGGCAGAATACGTGGACGACGAGGGCTTGTCCATCCAGTACATGGCTCCTAATGGCTGCGAGTGCGTCGAAGGGATGGACGACATGCACTGCAAGTTCTGCGAAACCGACGAGGGTTGCCAGTCTGAAAATGCCAATCAATTCTGCAGGCGAGGAGTTACGGTTCACGCCAATGACACCTACAAGTCCTTCAAATGCCGATTGTCCCCCGTCCTCGAATTGCTCATGCCCAGAGGAGAACTCTCCCTCCACATGGACCAGATCAACAGGAGCGCTCACATGGTACTCTACAACTGGGAAATGGCGGAACCAATCAATGGAGGACATGCTATTGAATGCAACTTTTACGGCTGCGATATGATCCCCGGCGAACAAGACGTGACATGCGAGGAATCCGGTAAGTTGCATAGTAGAACGAGTACCGCCCTCTGATTACAGCATTGCCCTTGCATTGCCGGCCAACAATCTCTGTTTTTGTGAACTTACTTCTTATTCCTTACTTATGTGCGATACGCGATACACAGTCTGCGATTGCACCGACCAATGCAGTGATTTTTCCAATAACATTGTACTCTACATGTCTGGACACGAGGCATTCTTCAATGTCACCGGAGATGGAGTAGGTGAACACCATGTGGAGTTGCACATGGAGGGGGCTCCATTCGATATCGCGGCTATTTGTACCGCTTCTGCCTGTGTCGAAGGTCTCGGTCTCGACTTGAATAAAAACATGACCTCTTTCGACTTGCAAGGGGTTGGCAACAGCACCGAAGTGGGAAAGTGATTTCGCATAGCAACAGTGTTTTGAGAGACGTCCCTAGATATCCATAAGTTTTGTTTTGGAGTGCCATAAAAACCACTAAACTAAACAAATACAACATTTTGTCCACTTTCCCCTTTTGCTTCCAGAGCGAGTGAATCAATTGGCTGGGCCGCTACCGAAAGAGTTACAATCGCACGATACGGTACGGGGATCCTGAGGGGCTAAGCTAGCTAGCTAGAACTCGTGCATCCTGCGTGCTGGAACGACAAGGCTGCCAGCCCACGAAAAAGCTTTGGAAAAGCTAGCTGCTGCTCTGTACTGTAACCAGTGAATTTGTTGCTGCTGGCCCAAATGCGTCATGCCCTGCACAGTTCGAGCCTCGATGAACGATGAAAGGAAGCACCACCTTCGCAAAACATCAGCGACTGAACGTGCTTGAAGAGTTCACACACACAACATTCCATGATGGCTACGGGTAACAGTAGCTAGCAGCAGGCACACGTTTTTGGTCTGAGCTGCAAGGGTCTCCATCGAGATCCCTGGTGCTTCTGGGCACCCTTCGTTTCGCCGTTATCCTTTCGTGGATGTTTCTCCCTGCCCAACACCACCTGGTACTGAATTCGCCCACTGGTGGTGCCAGTAGCATCTTTATTCTCCCCTTGGCACTGCAAATCACTTCCACTGCTGTACCAGTACAAGCCAGCTGTCAGGTAGCACTGTCAGGGCGATTGCTTCCATAGGCAGCTTGCTTCTGCTATTGAGGACATGTCTTTCCTCCAATGTGTCAGAGGAACATCATAAACACTGTTGCATCCCCACAGTGTTGTTGCCTGGGCTGAAGGAAGATGCAAGCGCAGAATTGCCTCTCGGATTGCTTCCCGTCAAAAGTGAAAAGTGACATTCTGTTCTCTATCCTGGCACCATCATGACCAAACCTTCTGGGTTAACCCTGGAAGCAAACACCAGCAATGTCGTTGAATGGGCGACGACGCGCCAAGTCGTCATCACCTGTTTGCGGTGGATTGCTATGACAGTGTGTGCAGACCCCCTAATTCACAGATTCAGCCACAGCTTTTCTTTTTGCAATTGACCGTCATTTCTTCGGAGGCGAGCAATCCATTGTCCAAGGGACTCTTTCTATTCCATGAAAGCACCATCGCAGCCTCCCAGAATCTTTCAACAATCTGGTTGATGGGGAGAAGCCGGGCGATTTTGGGCTCGCAGCACACAACCTAACTGACACTGCCTTCTTTCTGTGCTGGACCCAAGCAAGCCTCATAATAGCTAGTTGCCTAACTCGCTCCACGATTGTTGTAGCAAGTTGTAGTGCTTCTCTGCTTGCATATATTTTCGAATCGATCAGGCTGTAAATTGCTCTTCCAGAGCAACATTGCAGTCAACTCGCTTTGTCAGCCTAGCCATCAAGCTACTGCACCTCCCAATGTTGCCGTTGCTTTTTTTGGTTCTCCCTGAAGGACAGCTTCTCGTATGCGTAGGAAGGGCCAAGGCTTTCGCAAATTCAAACACGTTGTTGCCACTTGCCGCCCCCAAACAGAGCGTAGCCAAGCCATGTTATGATGAGACTGCACACTGACTGTCAGGAAGAATGCTTATTGGCCAGAGTCGAGTCCTCCCTGAAGATAAGGCTTTTTCTGTCGAGGACAAGCATTCTCCAAATGACTGTGTCATGTACATCACCAATTTGCTTCCATCAACAAGAACCATGAATACTAGTACTGATGATTCGATTCGATTCCAAGAAAGGTGATGAGGCGTTCGTTTTGTTGTCGCGTGCTACCGTAGTACCATCTTATTACATATTACATGTAGTCTACTAGAGGTGTTGGGCGGTGGACGAATCATTTATTTTCCAGTGCTAAGTGCTTCTCAGGGGCTTCTGGGTAGCCAAAGCCACGCAAACTGAGGTGTTCCATCATTCGCATGCTGGCAGTCGGCAGTCCACTATTACCAAGCTCGTCTCAGTTTACGGTTGCGTGGGGTTGCACTACTTGTCAGTAACGGTGTCTGGTTATGGGTGACATGGTGAGTAAAAGGCTTTGTTTGTTCGGTGTCGCTTGTTCTTCTCGCTTGGGGAAACAATGACGTACCAATGACTGACGAAGACTGCTTAGACAGAATGGAAACACGCCATCTGTAAGATGTGATGCAACCTTTAATTAACATTCGTACATAAGGAATGAAGACAGAACTTTTGTTCTTTGAGAAAAGGGAGGAATACCGGAGTTAATACAATAGTTACGTACATGCGTGCGTGTATATGGGTTTTTGGATATGCCGCAAATAAGACATTGAAGCATAACAAGCAACCGAAATACTGTATTATTTGGTCCTACGTAGTAGATACTGTAGAACGTACGGTAATTGCTGGGACGAATGGAAGAACAAAATATGCTGAGAGAGGGCAAAGAATTCCAATTCTTAAGGCACAGACTCCCTAGTAGACTATTTAATAAAATAGCTAGAATGAAAATAATGATGAAGTTTCTGAAATGTCTTTCTATGCTTCACTACCGAATGGATCGTCTTTTAAAAAGCTTAAGGCCCCGGAGCTGGCCCCGGAGAAATATCATCACCACATCACTACAGCACGATACCTGTTGTCCATCTCGCCGGATTACTAAAGTGCTGCAGCTGTGCTACTCGATCGGAGTCCCGTGGATAGCAAGTAATCCTGATTATGGGGAGCATCGGTACCGGTAGGTAAGTACTGTACAGCAGTCTATCCGAGAAGCTCGCCAGAGCGGCCCACCGTGAAGAAGTATTAATAGTCTACATGTAGTGTTTGGTGTTTGGTTGTGGAGCAGAGATTCGCTTCTACTAGATAGCTAGACTACTATCGTAGCAAACCAGATATACGCAAAGACGAAGCACTAGAAACAATAGCTAAATCAAACCTTAGGAAGTGAACCTCAGACCTCAGGGGTTATGGAATCAGGAAAAGCGGGAAACTCATCCGATGAAGACCGGAAGCCTCGCAATGCCGAGGAAAAGGCAAGGCTGGAAGCTGAAGCCAAGGCTCGGGAAGATGAGGAAGAGGAAGAAGACGTAAAATCACAGCCAAGAAAAAGGCGAGCCAAGGGCAAGAGGAAGAAGGAGAGCCCAGTCCCTGGCGAGACCAAGCAGGAGAGGAGGAAAAGGATCAATCGAGTTAGTGCTAAAAGGAAACGGATCAAAAAGACGGCGGAGCTCGAAGAGCTCCAAGGAGAACACGAGAGACTCAGCGAGGAAAACCAAGAGCTCAAGAATGCAAATCTCGCCATGCGAGAACGGATTTCAATGCTGAGAAAGTTTTTCCCCCAGGGCAGCACTCAACCTGCTCAGCAGGGCAGGGTGACAACCCCAAAACCACCAGCCTCCCCAGCTGCTGCCAAATCTCCGGCGGCGTCTCATCCTCTCCAAGTTGTCGCGGCTCCTTCGCCAGCAACCGCAAGTGTCAGCTCGTCAATCACCGGTAAGAAAATCTGACTGCCTTTGTGAGGAGCACCAAAGTTCGAGTCTATACAACTGACAAGCTTTCAAAATCAATTCCGTCCCCCCCTCCAAACATGCCATCAGAACGGCCGGCAGCACCGCCAGCTCTTCCTGCAAGTGGCGGCGATTCATCGGCTAATCTTCTGACCCAGTTGAGTCCGAATGAACTCAGTGCGTTTGAGAGAGCTGTTGTCAATGAGGTATGTTCAGTTTCGGTTGTGATACGTGGTCACGAAAAGGGGCCAGGCTTCTGTATGGCTAATTACGTCAACCCCCTTTTAGGTACTGAGACGGCGTCAACAGGAAAACCCACAGCCTCCCCAACAGATTGCAGGGCAGCGTGCAAATGGAAACGAAGAGAAATCGCAATCGATGGAATCTGTGCTGTTTGAGGAGCTTCAGGAGAGACTTGCTTCGGGAGCTCAAGCCCCAGTGCACAGCAATGAAGAAGAGAAACACCCCGGAGTTGCTGTTACTCTTGCACAGACGTTTCTTCAGCAGCAGAGGCACTCATCTGGGGCGACAGGACTTGAAGACAATTTTCAATCTGTTGTCCAACTTCAGGGCCAGCCAGGTTTTCGCAATGAAGCCCAGAGAGCTTTCCAGGCGCCGGGACCCGCTTCTGCCACTCTGTTTCATCAACTTTCCCAAGCCATACAATCGCGGAATCAACATCATTCTGGACCCCCAAGCCGTCAAGTGGTAGGAAGCGAGAACTCTGCGCTCCATCGACTGAACCCCCAAGCTGCTTCTCTTCCTGATCCAGATATTGTACAGAGACTGCAGGACATTCTACAGCAGCAGCAGCAGCAGCCTCAGACGGCGAATAATCCTGGGTTGCGTGAGCGTCAGCCTCAATCTTCCACACCTGAGGGAGCTTCTGCTTTTGGTTCCAGTGAATTGTCGAGTGCACTTGAAGGCAATCAGATACAGCAAGTACTGCGTTTAGCCCGGCAGCAGCAAGATGACGGCGCCAGAGCTTCTGGCCATCAGGAGCTTGCGGACGAGCTTCAAAGCAACCCTCTGCTCCAGCAAATAGTCCAACTGGCACAGCAGCAGCAACAACAACAACAGCAGCAACAACAGCAGCAGGAAGCCTACCCGGCCTCTGGTCATCAAGAAATTTTGAGCAGAAATCAAAGGGACCAGCCGCTGAATCAAATACGCCACATACCACAACCTGATCAGCCACCAACGCGTAATCAGGCCTTGGGAAATCAGGAAGTTTCGGGGACATCTCAGGGGGGTCCTGTGCAACAAATTTTTGCGATGTTGCAGCAACAATCATCGGGTAATCATTCTCAGGAAGGTGCTGGGAGAGTGTCGGGTGATTTGTCTGGAAACGCAATGGAGCTTTTTGCACGTACCGGTAACCAGCAGCAACAGGTGCTTAATCAGACTTCTGGTGGCCAAGGAAATCATATTATGCGTTCCGGTGTATTGTCAGGTGCGCACCAAACGGGTGACCAGGTACCCAACCAAGTGATCCAAATTTTGCAGCAACAACATTCTGCCACCCAAGCACCAAGACAACAGGAATTGCCGAGTACATCCCAAAATGATCCGGTACACCAAGCGATTGCATCATTACAACAGCAATTTCAGCAGCAGCCTTTTAGCAACCAGGGTTCTGGTCATCAGGAGGCTCCCAGTTCTGGGCCAAGCGAATCATCGGCAAATTCCCAGCTCGAGGAGCAGCTCCGTCGACTCCTCGGACTAGAACATCAGCCACAGGAGGTTGGTAACCAGCCCACTGGTCGTCAAGTTGAAACCCGAGCACCGCAGCCGCATTTGCCCTCTGATCATCAAAGTCGAGAGCCGCGACAGCAACTCTCATCTGGAAATCAGATGACAGAAGAAGAACAGCTTCGTCAATCCTTGCTCAACCAATTGCATATGCTGCAGAACTCGGCACCACCGAACCCACAGCCGAATTTGGTAACCCAGCAGCAATCGCAGCAGAGATTTTCCCTACGAGGCCCACAAGCGCAACTGCTGCAACGCTTGGCAGCAACGCCAATTCCGCAGCAAAACTCTGCGCAGGCGTCTCAACATTTTTTGCAACCGCAGCCGCAGCATACCGGTATCCTCGCTGCCCGGGCTCCACAAGCGCAAGTAGAAGCTCAGTTGCAGCATGGCTTGGCCGCACAACCGCCATCGCAGCACAGCTTTGCTCATCGGGCTCCACAACCGCAAGCACAGCAGAATTTGTCACAGATCCAGCAGATGCTGTCACTCGTATCCAACCAACAAGCTGTCGGCACAACGGACACTCCAGGACTAGCTTCGGCCCAAGCTCAAGTTCAAGCTCATCGTCCGGTTCCTCCGAATCAAGGCAATAGCACCACGAATCAAGCCGTGTCTTCTATACTCTCTTCTCTTGTCAATCCAAGTGCGGGGACTACCATAAACGTCGGTGCCACCGGTGGGCAAGGTAATGCCAGAAACGGCGAGGAGATCCTTCGCCTGCTGTACGAGGGGAGCGATGCGGGCACCCAGGAAGAAATCCTTCGGCTGCTCTATGCAAGAGACGGGAATGGGTATCCTCCACCTCCGCGTCCTCCGCATCCACCCTAGGTCACACAATCGCTACAGGCCTGCTTCATGGTAGAAAGAAGGAGCTGCCTGAAGGTCTCTGGCTCCACCTAAAAGAGCTGCAAGGCCAGAGAAGCTTTGGTTGCAGGGGCGCCCTAGGTATAAGGTGCTTTTCACAAGCTACAAGTTGTCTCTCCCAAGCCACAAGCTCCACGGAGCCTTTTGATGTGCTTTACAAAGTTATTTATGTTGTGGCAAGCTCAAGTTCGCAGATTGCTTGGTTTGGTGTAGCCCAGGCGTCTCTACGTGTCCACTCCGCTACAGTCCGCCTTGCAAAACCAACGTAGTTTTTGAGGCTGCAGAGACCGACCGATTCTGTAGTGTCGGTGGACCACAGCGGGCAAAGTACTTGGGAAGCTGGGCTCTATCTGAAGAGCTATCTGAAGTGCCTTCCTTACTGGCTTAGTCTGCTATTTATGCATACTAATAGTTCCTCCACTCCTTCCAAGGTGGTCAAATCTGAGGAAAGGGAAGTAATTCCCCAACTCCTTGTGGATTACCCTATGGGACTCACCAGTCCTGAGCGTGACCTACTTAGTCACTAGTCGTGACTCAGTACAAGTCCACGTGAGTCACTACCGTTTTTCCTTTCCCTCAAATTCCTCTCCTTGGAGGCTTCCTTTATTTGACTTGAAAGGGAGGCAGGGAATTCCGCGAAGGAATAGCAGACCAAGCTCACGGGTGGCAGGTCAGCTTGGGATCCGTGGAAAGAAGCAGAGAAAAGCAGAGAAGCAGGCCCTGCCAGGCCCCGTCATACATGTAGCCCTTGCATCCCCCTACCAAACGGACATTGGCGATTCGAGCTCAGAGAGTAAATTTACTTGAATCAGTCACTCTTTGCTGAAATCGTATGAAAATTGCCAAATGGTGCGATCTGGTGGACTTTTTGAACCACATTCAGTGCAATCATAAAGCGGGACTGAATCCGGGACTAACAGGCACCTTTAGAGGCCTTTCAGACGCAGCCCACTTCACGGTGAGTTTTAACGAACTGTTAACGTTGGCTTAAGTCCTGACTCGACTCGACCGCGAAAGAGCCTTGAAGCAATGCTGGTACGGTGGTACCGTGCATTTGTTTGGTTTGGCAAGTCAAAAATAAAACGTTTTGATTGAAAATTGGTAGAAAATAGTTAACAAATAAAGTTTGAAATTAGGAAGGTTGAAAAATTTCCCCGTGGGGTATTGTAAAGACCCCTATAGCTACCCACCTACCAACATGGGGGTTCCAGAAACCCTATTAAAATAGATAATTGACAGCAGGGTGCGGAAATGGGACTTAAATCTTTGAAACGACGGTTTAAAGATCCTGCGTGAAACTCGCACTATTTCACGCACTGTTTCACGCACGTGAAACTTTAACTAGTATGTTCAGTCGTGCGTGAAACTATCAATCTATCCCTAGTAGTCACTAGTAAATCTTGCGTGAAACTAGCCGATTACTGCGTCAAACTGTCGCTAGATTCACGCAATCCTGCGTGAAACTGCTAGTTTCACGCAATATTTTGCGTGAAACTAACTCCTATTCTACTAAATCTCGTTTCCGCACCCTGCAGTTCTGAGTTCTCCAAAAGTCCAAGCAAAAAATTTCGAAAAAGGTTGAGTTTTGGTTGAGATATGGGCATCTAGATATGGCGACTCGGGGTAGCAAAACAAGGCGTGGCGGCCTATTAGAAGCCCAGGGAAAGTCAAAACAAAACTTGCTTTTCGTCACGCAATGGAATACATCTGAAGCCATTGAGAATATTTTGAAAAAGCCCTTTTTGTGAAGAAAACGCAGTTGGTGATTTTCCTGATGGACTAACCAGACCTACGGTACCGGTCCAGTCAACAATGCGCAAGTCACCTTGGAAAGAAAAGTAATGAACGCATGAGGCTTCCGTAAAAAGAAATAGCACTTGTTGCTTTGGGCAATTGAAACATTGAAACGTTGAAGCAAGTGAGAAAGAGAATTGTTCCATTGAGCTTTCAGGCGACTGATCAGTACGAGTAGAAGCCCATCGCGAAGCAATTAGGTGGATTTTTACTCCGAGAAATATCGAGAGTGATTTCAAAGGAGCCAAGAACATAGTCGAGTCTCATCCGTATTACTTGAAACCTTCAGAAATAGGGACTTGAAACATGCGACTACACTATGCAGCTTTGAAGGCGGTCAATTTTGGAGTGATTTGCCGATTGCGGCAGCGTTTCTGATGTTGTTGAAGAAACCGCCGTGTTGTTGGCCGATTAACCGTAGCTCCACCCTTTTGATGTATGTATTTATTTCATCCATCATCATTCGCTTGCTTCAATCTTTCAAATAAAATAGATAGATGCTTCTTGATTCCCTTTCTTTTTCCTAGTCTTCCTTCAGGGGCTTTGATTGCAGTGGTCAAGTTTGCGAGTTATAACATGCAAAGAGCCAATCCTGCACGATGTACTGTAGGGCGAGTCCAGAAGAGGAGGTACGAGTATAAAAACACTAGTACTTGACGTGCATGCTCCTAGTGGCAGCAAGCTTCCCCAACCACGATCAAATATGGAAAATAGTATTTGTTGTGGAGTTTTGTGTATGCATCAAGCAGCAGCGGCCACACGAGATGTAATCAGCTCACGCAGCAACCCAACCCATTGTTTACTCAAGGGGGTGGTGGCAAGTGCCGAGAAAAAGTCCCTCTATTGTCCCTCCTGCCAAATAATACGTATCATACCGTACGGACTAGCTAGTACGGTACATGCCTACCTAGCTACCCTTCACATACTAGTAAGTGAGGCCGGTCTCTACCGGAACGACTAAGGGACCGACTAAAGGAATCCTTTAGGTGGTTGTTTAGTTCAAGATTTAGTCATTATCCTTTAGTAATGGTGGTGTCTACCAGCAGATGACTAAATCTCGGACCAAACAATTTAGTCAGTTCTTTAGGCATTTGGACCTGTCTACCCAGCACAAACAAATGACTAAACGGAACACTACTCACTACTGGACTTAAAGGACTCAAAAAAGATTTAACAAAAGTGATCACTTGGTGGGCTACCAATATTCTATCAGCATGGTGGATTTAAATGACTCAAACAAAGACTTAACCGAAGTGATTACTTTTTTGAGATAACAAGACTCAAAACACACCATTGCGATGCACCTCTCCTCTGTCATTTGCACCTCTACTATCATTGAATCGTTCGATCGTTTGCACCTCTACTATCATTCATTCGATCATTTGCACCTCTACTATCATTGGATCGTTTGATCCTTTGCACCTCTACTATCATTGGATCGTTCATTCGATCATTCGATCGTTTGCACCTCTACCGGTACTATCATTCAATCGTTCGATCGTTTGCACCTCTACTATCATTCAATCGTCGATCGTTTGCACCTCGATCGTTTGCACCTCTACTATTAATATCATTCATTGCACCTCTACTACTGTATCATTCATTCGATCATTTGCACCTCTACTCTATCAGCTCTGTCGCGATGCTCTGATAGTGAGGCTGTGCAATGAGGCTGATGCTGTTCTTTCTTAAAGAGTTCTTAAACAAGCTTTAGTCCTTACGCTCGCTCACCAACTAACCAGCCTCCTGTTAGTCGGTGAACGAGCGTTTTGACTAAAGCCTTTAGTCCGTATGACGTTTAGTCGCTTGGGTAGACACCACCCCAAGAGACTAAACTATGGACTAAACTACTAAATATGGCTTAGTCGCTACTTTAGTCGCTCAGGTAGAGACCGGCCTGACGTGCAAATGCCGAGAAGTGCTCCTTGCTTTGTCTGGGATTGAACTAGCCAGCAAAGCGGATTCAGCAACAAATTTGGCTTAGCCGGCTCTTGGCAGCTGGTGGGATTCAATCCACCTGGCTCCACGAACAAGGTACAGTACCAAGTACTTTTAGTAGACTGCTCTAGCTAGCTAGCAAGCTTTCTTCCGCAGACGACGACTTGGCGACACCACAACATTTATTTTGAAGCAGTCAAACGAAAGAGCTCAGGCAGCAGCAAAAGACAAGAGCAAGGGCACGGCGAGTAGCGTACGCTTCCCGACAGCCACAGAACCGAAGTGAGATCAAGATGACGCAACCACACCGGAACGGATCCATTGCCATTCTGGAAGGTTCTGTCACTGTCTGCCGCGACATTCCCAGTGTGTTAACCGGTGAGTCTTGTGTCTTGCTGTGTTTGTCCATTTGGATGCCCCAACTAGACTACCTGAAGTCGCGCCTTGATCTTACACCTCCCATTCATTGGATGATATCGGTATGCTATCACACAGGCAAAGTCCATTGGATCGAATGGTCCATGTTCTGTGATCGTCTGGATGAAGCCTTGAAGCCGCTCAGGCCACTGGCATGTTCCTATCCGGATGATAGCAACCACAAGAAACGAAGGAGATCCTTTGCGTTCCGACGAAAGTCAATGAAATCCAAAGTTCTCAAGAATCTCCAACAAGTCTGTGACAAACAGGCCAAGCAAATGGCGCCCATCATTCAGGATTTCATTCTATACTGCCCCTGTGACAGCCGTGGCAAAACTGTCAATGTCACGCACTGGCATATTCAGGTGGTCTTACCACCACAAGGTGCTGCAGTCGTTACCTCGTCGTCCTCCTCGTTTGATCTTTTGGACACAGTCCCAGCCACAATCTCGATTCCCATCACGCCCGCTTCCTCGCCAATGAGCAGCCGGGAAACACTACCTCCACCACCACAGTCATTCCCCTTGGACAGGGATTCACGGCCACGCTGCTCCTTTTCCAGACGCCACAATCATTCGAACAGCTACAACAACATTCATAACAGCAATATCAACCATGCTGGCCTACAGAGACAAGCTTCCAATGCCTCCTCTTCCACCATTGCAACCACCACGTCGGCGATGCAAAACAGCCACAGGACCAATCCGTTTCTAGACGACCCCAATGATACAGTAGCCATGTCACGAGATGCTCTCATGGAACTGGATCGGCGGATGGACTGGGAGGAATGGAATCAAGTGCCTACCATTCCTCCTGATGTATCCATGGATCAAATGCCCATTCCCATGCCGCCACCCGCTCCTTATGTCAAGGAAGTGTAGATACTATTTAGTAGCTAGCTACAGCAGCAAATGAACGTACATGTACAGCTAAGGTATAAAATCGAATCAAACCAAGGATGTGATTCGCAATGTAGGGCACTTGTCCACAGATGGAAGTATATGTACGGTACGGTTTAGTGGCACATCTACTAGCTAGCTAGAAGCCATTTGAGGCCTGAGATTGGTTCATATCAGTACAAAGGTATCTTGGGGTTATTGCTCATTCCAATAACTACATTGTTAATTTCCAAAGCCGCTGTACACTCTTGAGCACCATTTATTTTTCCGATGACTTTCAGTCAGCCCAGTGCAAGCAAGATGCGGGAGGATCCTCTTGTAACAATTTGCCTGAGCGATTAATTGAGCAACAGCATTCTCCATTTCCTCATATGGCAACTTCTGGCTCTGGCTCAGGTCCTATGTTAGACTTAGCTGAGCATCTCATTCTTACGTGTTTTCTAGTAATTTGTGGTTTTATCATGAAAAAAGGATAAAGATTCAACTTGAATGTTGGGATACCTTCTGCCAAGCTTTGCTGCAAGAATTTTGCCAGCTTTGCCAGCTTTCCTTTCGCTGGATCTTTGAAGAGGCGGCAAAGGACCCCACCAAAGCTGAAGAAGACATTCAGGTGTAGTACATGTAGTTGAAAACAAGATGAACCTTTCATTTGAGGTGGATCAATCGTCGGGAGTAGTCCATGCAGGAGATTTTCTGTCGGGAAGACTGTTAGTGAATGCGGACAAATCGGTGAGTGCTACCTGTCTGGCAGTCTATTTTCGGGGCAAAGAGGAAACGACCGTGGTCTACCACAAGACGGAACGTCGTGGAGATAAGTCTCACAGAGTTCGAAAGACAGCCCATGGGAAGACGCAAATCACGCGACAGAATATCGAGGTACCCAATGAGTCTCAGTCTTCCATCATTCAAAATGGCAAAGTAATGCCTGGATCCTATCAAGTGCCCTTTCGCATCCAAGTGCCCACAGGGATCCCGTCCTCTATGACAAATCGACAAGGAAACGGCACTGCTGCCATCACGTACGCCTTGAAAGCAGTTCTCAAGGGATCTGGAATCTTTCAAGACTATCAACAGCGTCATCCCATACAAGTTGTGGCGGCACCAGAATTGGCCCACACAGTGCCCTACATAGTCCAACCCATCACCAACATCATTACCTCCTGTTGTTGCTTCAGCCACGGAGCAATGACCTGTGGAGCCAAGGTACAAGACACTCAGTTATTCAGAGGACAAAATGCCCAAGTCAAAGTGGCGAGTGTCAATGACAGTTCGGCCAATATAGATCACATTGAACTCGCCTTGATGCAGCACATTTGGTGCCAAGCGGGGTCGCATTCCGATACTTCCAGAACAAAACTCTGTATTCACGTGGTTCCCACAGACGAGTCTCACAATAAACTCGACAAGCAAGCTCTCAAACAAAAAATGCAAGATGCAAATCGAGAACACAACAACAATCTAGTCATATTGCAATCGCTCAATAATGATGACGCGTGGCTGACTCTCCCGCCAGTTCCGGAAACCGCCTTTAATACCTATCAAGGCTCACTTATCAGAATCACTCATAAATTGCGGATCAAACTGGGGACCACATCCAACCACACCAATCCGGAACTTTTCGTACCCGTCAAGATTGCCACGGGGGTAACACCATCCGGATCCGCACCGCAAACCAACCCAGAACTCCACATTATTCCCGTGGCACCCGCTTTACCCATTCCCAACAACAATCATTCTGATCCACCCATGAATCCCAACTATTACCAGAATCCATCCAATGATGATGATATTGATATTGACATTCCAACTGTCCATGTTGTTGCTCCTCCCGACACCAATCCGGACTACAACAATCAACTCCCCACCATGGATTATCCGGGATCACCACCATCCATTGACCAACTCGTGGAACTCATGACCAACTCGGTCGATGATTTGGCCATTGTACAGTTGCGAGTCACCAATGCCGCATGGGACCCCGTCTTTGCCAACTTGTCACCCACCGATTTTGGACGCATTCTGCAAATGGTGCATTTGGATGTCAATGAAATTCCCGTGGCCAGGACTGTGGCGGCGCATGTCACCAGCAACAACAACAACTTTACCTGCCAACATGTCGCGGCAGCATTGCCCTTTTGTTCCGAATACAGTAAATCCACCATGGTGGAACAGTTGATACCCTTTTGTGTCGATCTCCCGCAAAATCATTCCCAAATCACACGGCAACTCTCGGATTGGGACAAGATGGCTACGGATGCCGCTATTCAGAATGCCATCAACGGAAGGTAGTACCGGTAGCTGGTTAGCGTGCATCCATCTAGTATTAATTGTATCCATCATCGTTGGAGCGCCCCTGGTAGAGCCCGGGTGGATGCTTCATCGTTTGGTTTGCCGGGAGTTGGATGTCCACTTGCTCGAGATGGAATTGTGAATGCGGCATCAGCACGAAACCGGGTGCACCAACTCAGTTCCTTGTGAAGACCATCAGCGCAATCGCATGTAAAGGGCAAAATGGGCCCTCGTCTGTCATTTTGTGCGGCCGTGGCCGGTGGATTTTGGTTGTTGGCTCCTTCGTGATAAAAATTTGGAAAGCGTGTGCAAGTTTGTGCAGTCTAGTCAAGAGGCTATTCCTCGTGCCAAATGAAAACCATATGACGACGGCCGAAAACAGTGTGACCCACGGGTGCACCGTGGGGACGGGATGACACCTGAGTAGAGACCGCCATTGTGCTGGCACGAGGCACAGTGAAACCAGGATGGCCAAAATGATTGGGAGGGGCAAAATGAATCTTCAGCTGCACGATCAGGGGCAGAAGCATGATAACTCTTTTCATTTGCCTTTGCCTTTGCTGGTTGCTTTTTGCGATCTCGGCATCTTTGTCCAGCTTCAGGGGTAGAAGAGGTAGATGAGTATGAAATCATTTTCCAGAAGCAACGAACCGATTACGTGTAGATAAAGTGCGGTGATGGTCGCGTACCGTACCACTTTTAATCAGTCTTGAATCAATGACACATAAATGAAGTGCTCACACAGGGCCTTAAAAACAGCCTGACAAAGAACAGTGTCCAATACTTTTACATTCGTATCTTTGGCTACACCGAAATCCTCCTCAAGGTTCCAAGGTTGTGGCGGAGCGCTTGGGACTTTGGAAGACGGTGGTGAGGACATGGATGTACCGGTACGGCAAACCGCTTCACACATACATGTTGTAACTCGTCCGTTGCTCCAGGCGACGATCATCTTGGCAGCCAGCCACTTGTCTCTGCCCACTAATCTACTAATAGATGACATTGTAGTTGTTTGACCGGTCGAGCGATCTACAGCATGTAGCTAGGAGTAGTAGTTGTCCGACTACTCCAGCCAGTACTATTGGCTGGAAGAAATAGCTACTGAGTACGGTAGCTACCAGCCAAACTTTCGAATAACAAGTACCTGGCGCTCAATTCCCAGTATCTGAGTAGCAATGGATGGAAAACTCTGTTTGTTCATTCCCAACCGTATGCATCCTTCTAAAGAAGAGAAAGCATCCTCCAAAGAAGAAGAATTTCGATTGCCGAACAGAGGGGGGAGCAGCCACTTTTGCTTTGATGAGGGGACATCGCTCCAGCCATTGCCAATACACGCTCCTTGCTGGGCAGTCATCTACATGTACCGGCGTTTGCTGGCTGGATGTTGCTTTCTGCAACAAGTTGATCTTGTTTGCCTTCTCCCGGCCACAATGTTCGCTCTGCAGGGTTCCTGGAGAGATCGTGGTCACGCCGTTGCTGTGTCCTCTCTGTCCCTAGCTAGCTAGCTCGCTACTGGTAGCAGGCCACGAGCGGCCAATGCGGAAAAAGTCCTCTTGGCTGTCTCTTTACGCCAAATAGAGGCTTAAGCAGTGGAAGGCAAGCATCTCATTTTCTCACTTGTTGTGGTCTTGGCCTGGATCATGGATTAGGCCAGGGGAGCAAGCAACGGAGCGACCACTGGATCAAGATGCTTTGCAGAGAGCTTTTGCAGCAAGTGTGATTTGTTTTATGCATGTAGTCATCACGGACAAGGCACCAATTAATGGAAGGTCGTGGTTTGTTCGTGGTCATTGGTGCTTAATTCTCTGAATGCAGTATTATAGCGTTAGGGATAAAATAAATGAGACCGATACCCCTCCCTTTTCCCGGAGCCTGCGAGTTACGGTATGCTAAAGCCTTTGCGTACAGTATCCTCTTGTTTCTGGTTGCTTGCGACTGCAGCTGCTAGCTCTAGCTAGCTAGTAGGCTTTAGGTTTGGACGTTTTGACTCTTCCTTTCACCTACCGGTACCCATGGTAGTCTGGCCTGGATATTATGAACTACTAGTACAGTAATGAGTCGAGTCCTGTTGACATCTATAGTCTAGTTAGCTAGCTGGAGACTGCGTAGTAGAGCTAGCTAGCTAGGGTAGCGTTTGTGGTTAGGTGTTTCAGAAAGTCTGTTTTTATGAATAATGAGATTCTACACTGCTATTGGCACAGTGTTTGTTGTCATTAGGTTTGGTAAGGCTCTATCGTTTGCCGTTGTTGTTTCTTTCTTTATGCGTTTGTTTTGTTTGATAGTTGCTGTGGACATGGTGTCCACACTTGTGTGTGTGATTTGTTCCCCCCTGATATCAGGTATCAGATACTAGCTAGCTAGCTAGTAGTTGTCTAGCTAGTCTATAGGGGTCGTTGCCTTCGGACATGGCACTGTTGCTGCTGTGATGATTCTTCCGAGAAGAATGCAGATTGCATGGAGGAGGAGCAGGACAGTTCCGAAGCATCATTGAGTGGGAATCGATTGCGATGGTGTGCCGTGGAAGATCGTTGAAGAGATTCATCCATGTTGACAGGAGGACCAAAGCAATCTTGTGCCGAGATGGGTTCCATGTCCTCCTCCAACAAGGATTGTTGCTGTTGTTGTGAGTTGTTTTCCACGGGAAGTGGCATTTCCAAGAGAAGTTCAGGATTAAAGACATCCTCCTCACCTTCTTGTTGGTTGTTGTTGTAGTTGTAATTGTAGTAGTCATCGTCATCATCGTCTACAATATCATCTTCTTGTTGTTCGTGCATGTACTCGACAAAGATGGCAAGTGCGACTTGTGCATCTTTCATTCCCAACTCGGTGGCGGTATCCCGTGCCCATTGGGTAGCATGGCCACTGACGAGTTGCATCATGAGAGGATCGGAGATGCGCATGTAGCGTTGTCGTGCTTGTTCTCTTAGGACACTTTCCCATACCATTTGTCGTTTGGCTTTGTACTCTTTGTTGGCTTGAATACTGAGGTAGGCTTCATACCCGCGAAGACAATGGACGGATTGATCAATCATGGACAAGTCAAAGCGGACCTTTTTCAAGACTTTGACCAATGCCTTGCGTTCTTGTTTCAACACGCTCAATTCGTCTTTCTGTAAAGATAGTAAGATAAGGGAAGATCAGAGTGAGTACAAGGATGGGTATACTTGTGATAAGGGTATAGTATAGTATGACAAGAGGAACTTACAGTGTACCATCCAGCATCGACTTCTTCCCGTGACCATTCGTTCGAAACCATGCTTGTGACAGGAGCAAAGCTGACATGACGACGGGCTTGTTTCTTGACATTGGAATGCAGAGGAGTGGCTTGTTCTGGTTGAGACTGTGCTTGTTGAGACTGTTGTGCTTGTGCTTGTGCTTGTTGTGGTGCCAATGGAAAGGTGGCACTGTTGGCCAGTCGACTGGACACGGAAGAACTACTGGTACTGGTACTGGCAGAGCCACCGCTGGAAGAACTGCTAATGGAGACCGTGCTGACAGTACTAGTGTGGCTGTGGTTGGAACCAGACTCGACAGGATCAGATCCCTTTTGTCGTTTGCTGGCAGGACCTTCCATCACCACAGGAACCACATGGTTTGTGGTAGCATCGACACTCATGGCAGCAGAACTGCGCATCAAAGTGGGTTCATTGTGTGAGGAGGAGGTGGCGGCTAGGAGGGTCTCGCTGCTAAAGTGGGGAATCATCTTGACTTGACTTGATTGACTTTGGAAGTAGGTGTGAAGATGGGCGGTCGAGTTGATGATATGAGAAGATGAGATCGATGATCTGATCTGATGATGTGATGAGCTGACAGTGAATGTGTAGACTGGGCTGAGCTCGTCTTGGCGCTATCTTGGGTTGGGAGTTGGGAGTCTGATGGTAAGATGACTTACTTGTGTGCTGCCAATTGTGGAAAGCAGACGGACTTTCTTAGCACAAGGCGTGAGGTATGTGGTAGTAAGTAATTCAGGTGAAGTGAAGTGACCTGCCTGCTGACCTGCCTGCTGGGCTGGAGTCGAGTCTCCGTAGCGTGAATGTGCTTGTGAGTGTGGCGAGTGTAAGAGGGATATCACACAAGATAAGAACCGATGAGATGATCCAATCCAAGAGCGACCTATGTCTCCTGATGATGGACAGGATGCTCGGTTGATCGATGCTGTGATATGCGCTGGCACGGTATGGTACAGTATGGTACGATGCTACCCAAATGCTACCCACAGATTTGATAGGGAGCACGAGAATAACCAATGGATGGACGCAGTAGGATGGCTACTGCTGTGATATTCCTGCTTTAGTTAGTTAGTAGCTGGCTCAACTATTAGCTAGTACGGTACTGGCATCAACACCTGTCCCAGGCAAGAAGGTCTCTAATAAGAGCGATGTGAGCGGCGGATCGTGAGAGTCGGTTTTCGTTGTTGGTTGCTATTCAAGCCAAAAGAGAACGGATTTTTACGAACTCAACAGACTTCAACTTTCACAAAAGCCCCCAAGTTCTCCAGGTACTCACAGTTCTTATGCCATACTGTTCACTATGACTATAGAGTACGAATACCTGGCATTACCGATCAACAATGGATCGCTTTTACTCTATTAGAAGCAGTATATCAAGCATTCTACGGTTAGAGTGAACACACTGTCCTCTGACTGTAAATACACAAGATATAACGACATGTCTTTACATAGGAAGGCCAGAAACAGCCTTCCTTCTTTGTTTGGTTCATTGCCACTGGTACAAATTTGTACAGTGCATTACTTTGTAACATGTAAAAATGACTTTTCATACCTCTTCTGTAAGTTGGCTCTTTTGGTGCTCCTTGTCGTTGTGATGATAAAATTTCGGATGCCCGCTTCCCGCTGATCGTGGACCCAGGGACGTGATATTATAAGCCCTCTCGCCATCGTGTTTAATGGCATCACCTTCTACTCTTGCAATGTCCCATTCAAGACGAACAACACAACTACAGGGAGCTGTCGCGAAGAATTTTCCTCACCTGGATCCTCAGTAGCCGAATGATACACTTGAGATGGTGTCCAGGTTCGGTGGAACAAACTGTTCAACCTGACAATCCTTCTTGAAACTGGTACTCCTCAGCAATATCAGCTAGTCACTCATTCTATTATCAACGGTATAACTGGCCCTTTACGAAACACTGGATCTTTCAAACCTCAGATTGTTGCATGTCCCAATACAGCTAAATTTTCAAACACCACTCGTTTCTTAACAAGATCTCTTTCCACTGGTATTCTGTGAATCGCGATTTCTATCTCAGACGTTGATAACATGTGACCTCTTATATCTATTCATGCTCCTCCCGTGAACCTGTCCAAACCTGGATACGCTTCATAAGCCCGTAAACGCATCATGCCGTTCTGCTGGCTGATTTTTTGAGATGGTGAGGCCAAAAACTTTTGCATCGGTGGTACATGTACCGGTACCGGTACATGTACTGGTACTGGTACCTGTACGACATTTTTGTGTCGGTGTCATTGGGGGCTCAACGTAGTTTTCTGCACTCGGCTTTTGCACAGCAGCGGGTAGGCATCGGAAGAATGGCAAACATGCAGTAAACCCACAGAGATCCTGTCACCAGTCAACTAAATTGAATAAGCATGGAAGCAGAGCAGCCCGACGCTAGATTGATTCCCAAGCAGCAATGATGGTGGCAAACCGGTATCAGGACAGGTTTTTGCGATTGTTCCTACCGTAGCTAGGGGAATCAACCCATAGAAAGCTGGCAGCAACCAAGGTACATGTACTCTCATCAGGAGAACTCAGCAAGACGTTGGGGGAGAACTAGACTTTTGAAGAAATCTCCCAGTATGAATTGCGTGCAGAAGGCTGAAGTCAACTTGATGAGAGACCGTGCAGGTAAACGCAGAGGCGGCTGAAGACGAATTTCAGCGACAAGCTAGAACTCACACCACAACCTGCTCAAGTATGAGACCTAGCTCTGCTGTCAAGGAAGGGAGCTTCAGGGCAGCTGGAATGCCCACCTAGACTGACAAGAGTTCAGGGCCGCCCCCCTTTCGTTGTCTGGCTGTTGGACTCCAACACAATTGTATTGTTTCCCGATGTGGGCATCAGTCTCAAATGGCTTCTCTAGAGACGTACCGCGAAACGATACTTCAATCCACGCCACCGCAACGCCATGTGGGTCTATCCATGAAATCACTAATTATAGTATACTTGTCCAGCATTCTCCAATATTGTGGCACCCTTAGCTTTCAAGCATCCAAGCAATTCGACTCATCAGGATATCATAGAGGGTGGCGTCGAATATTGCTTCATCAGCTGGAGAAGAGGACAACGCCTAGTCTGACCTAGATGGCAGCGCCTTGTCAAACTTCAAACGGAAATGTGTTGGTAGGCTTGCAAACCTTCATTTTGCAGAGGATGGTGGATAACCCAGACGACGGCAATAACAGTCTTCACAACCATTGCTTTCCTCGATCTTTTGGGCTGCAGTTTCGTCACAGGCTGATGTTGGGTTCGTCAAGAAAAACGACTGAGGAACACAAATCCAACAACCAAGGGCTCCTTTGGAGTTCCATGGAGCCCTGGTCCCCATTTTGTCGCACTTACGACGTGGATTGTAGGTCTGCCTTTCCATTCAGATCTTCTGGGTCCAAGACTTCCAGTCTGGCCAAGGCTTTGAGACAAGTTGATTTGATAATGTCCATGTAGATACGGCATGAGCGAGGGACGCAGGAGCCAGCACAACTAGGTTTGCTGCAATCTCCCAAAGACCAACCAAACGAAAGGGCCAACCGGACAGAAGCAGAGACATTAGGAAGCAACCGACGAGTACCAACGTCGACCCGCCAAACAGAAGAACAGCAAAACCAACATTGCCGACGGCGTACCAAGTTAAGTCAAGAGCGAAAGACGGCTTCCAGCGAGCATACGTCTACTAAGAGCTCCTTTGGCGTTCCGTGGAGCCCCTGGCCCCCATTCTGTCGCTCAACTAAGGTAGATACGACATGTCAGCGGAGGGTGAGTTACAGAGTAAAAATCCAATTCTACTGATTCCATACGGAGAGGCAGCACAAGTAGGATCACGAAACAGTTTGAAGAATACGGCTTGAAGAAGGACAAGGGAAGCGTGATGGTGATCATTTGATTCAAGTTTGGCGTCAATCCAGGATGTCCCGTCTCCTGCGACCAAGTAGGTTTGAAAAGTGGCGCTGCCGCATCTGCTTCCTGGCAGTGTTGTGTTGATGATGATGAGACTGGAACACCAAACGTTGCCAACGATTGCACGAGGACGAACCACCCCGCAAAGGAACCACCGCAAGACGACACCTTTCCCAGCGAATAGACGAGGGGCGTACCGGCAAGTTGCATACCACTGGGCTCCAAAGGAACCACGGCCCCCCGAAGGAGCTGCTACCAAAGCAGCACCGGAAAGGTGTCATCGTCATGCGTGTCTTTGAGGCAGAAGAAGAAGCGGAAGTTGTTGTGTGTTTGAGAGAAAGCTTGCCTTGTGGCAACGGGTTTCACAACTAACCCAAACCGCAGTGCCAAGGAGCCAACCGACCAACCCAGACAACCAACAAGACGGGAAGACGAGACTTGGACGAAGCACCCGTTGATCCACCTGTGTAGTTGCCTAAGAAACGCAGGTGTGGAAGACACAAAAGGTGAGAGTTGAGCTGAGAGCAAAAGCAAGGCCGCATGATTGCATGCATGCCACTTTCATCCAGCGAAGGCAATGAGGACCAGCCCCGGAAGACCGACCCCTTTCCCTTCTCAAGGTTCAAACGAACTCCGAACTACTAACGTCATGTATGCATGCCGTTCGCTAGCGGACCGTACCTGTATGTCGTTGATGAGACTGGAACACGACAGACACCTTTGTCAACGGCCATGGAGCAGACCTATGTTGGAACCTAAAGGAGATTGAGGCCACAACGGTCGATGACCGTGAAATTCGCAATGGCACAAAGACAGGAACACGTCGACTTACATTGCATGAGTACGAACCAACCCACAAAGGAACCACCGCAAGATGACTCTGGATCCGTTCAACCACACAGCGGTCCGCGCGAGGGTCCATCCGTAGATGCACATCTCGAGGCACGTGAACGTGGGACTCTCAATTCCATCATGGTCATCGTCATGCATGTACTTGTCTAAGTCCAAGGAATAAATTGTTGTCGTTGCTGTTCTGAGAGAGAAAGAGCTTGCGTTGATGCAAAGACGTTTCATGCAAATTGGCAACGTCGTTTCATTTCAGCCGACAAGCTTTTGGCAAGATCAACTCAAAATCGAAAAAGGTGTCAACATCAAAAATCAAATGGAGCTCGTCATGGATTGCCGTTTCATTTCAAACTGAAAACGACGACAGTCGGCAAAGGTACGCGTGGTTGATTTTCGGAGGCTGCTTCAGAGAATCCATGAATGCACCGATCGCGGTGTAGAGGAGTGTCAATTGTTGTCATGCATGGTGAAGCAGAGTGTTGTTCTACTACTAGCTAGTACTAGCCAGTAGCTACTAGCTAGCTAGCTATTATAGTAGTAGTAGCACATTGCATTTTCTTTTTCCAACATCCACGCCAAGGCATGCAGGATTGAAAGCAAAAAGTGGTCGCGTTGGATCTATTTGAGAACGCGAACCCTCAGATCTGGTATCTTTGGATCTTTGTCTCTTCGCCCTTGTTGGTTTTTCGTTGCCAGCGGTACCAGGTACTGCCCATCTCTAATATCAGTCTCTATTACTTAGACGACTAGCTAGTAGTCATACCATGACATCCCTGACCACACCAGCAGAAGAAGATCAAGCCACCAAGGGCGCGACATTGGCCAAGAAGTACTATGATTCCGATGACGCCCAAAAGTTTTACTCCATGATTTGGGGTGAAGAAACCTTGCACATTGGACGCTACGATATGCTCACGGAACAGGACAAGAATACCCTCTCCGTTCACCAACAAATTTCCAAGGCACAAGAATACCACGAACAAGAATTCATTCGGCACATTCAAAGCAAATTTAGCTATGAAAATATTACTAGTAATCCTCCAGAAGACGTGGTTACAGTTACATGCTTGGACATGGGATGTGGCTACGGAGGTCTGCTCCGACGACTGGTACAAGCCGGGGCCATTCAAAAAGCCACTGGATGCGATATTTCCCAAAAAATGTGCCAACAGGCGCGACGTCTCAATCAGGAACAACACTGTGCCGACAAGATTGAGATTGTCGAAGAATCCTATTTGGCGGTTCCAAGCGTCGCCGACGGGTCTTGCAATCTCGTCATTAGCATGGATGCTCTCTTGCACGTCGGACCCAACGGGCAAGCCACGGCCATGCAAGAAGCCGCTCGCGTCTTGCAACCCGGTGGATGGATGATCTTTAGTGATATCATGCAACAAGAAATTGTCGACCCCGACGAAATGAAACCCATTTACGATCGCATTCATCTCTCGAAAATGGGAACCGTCTCCAACTATAAGCAGGCCATGGAAGCAGCCGGATTTGACAACTTTGACTTTTTGCCCAATGCGTCCACCAACGTGTCGGCACACTACGGATCCGTCTGTACCGTTCTGGAAGAAAAGGGAGACGAACTAGGAATTAGTGACGAATACCAGCAAAAGATGAAGGCCGGTTTGATTACCTGGAGAGATCTGGGAGAAAAGAACATTGTGTGGGGCTTTGTTGTGGCGCAAAAGAAACAGTAGATGATTATGTGACCACCAGGAAACCTCGTTGGATGGATGGAGGGATGGATGGATGGATCAGTTGATCAAACGATACTGCTATTAGTAAGCAGTCCAACTAACCAGGTTTTGCTCGTCTGTGTCATTCGTCAATAGCTATTCCTGCTACTGTACTACATTGAGCTCCCGGCACTGGCCCTCTGGCGCGCCTGCTCCGTCCTTGGTTCCCTGTCTCGCCTCCCTTGCATGCAATGCCCTTGATTTCCACTCAATAGTCCTCCCATAACCCCTCAGTAACCCAACGGAAACACCACTGGTGTGGTTTCTGAGAGCACCGTGAAACCAATCGGAAGGAAAAAACTACAGTACTAGCTAGCAACGGTAGCCGCTTGTGCCCTACGGGTGGTGGGTGGGTTCACCATTCAATTCCTACAAAGTGCACACTGAGCGAGGACCAACTCTTGCTACAGTACATTCAGTACAGTCGTACGTGGAAACCAGCATTCTTGCACCCGCTCGCAGCTACATCGTCTACCCTTTCAGCAATACAGGTATGATCACACGTTGATTAGTTCTCTTTAAAATAAGGATGTCTTTCGACTCGCCTCTACTTGCAAAAAACTTTCATGGCACCCGGCATGACTTTGGCTTGTATCGGTCCCGATTCCACGACTTCCCCATCAAGATCGTTGATGGAAGATGTTGCAGGCTCCAGCCTAAATGCAGTGCACGGGATGAATTCAGCCTGAGGGAACTTGACATGTGAGCCATCTTCAATTCCAATCAACATTTGGGCCATGGCAAGACGGGACGTGTTCTTTTTTCTGCAAACATAGAAAGCAATAGATGAGATTTAGTTTTTACCAAGCGCAACATCGAACTAGCAAACAGTACGTACCTGATCACCAAGATATGAAAGACTTCGTCATCCAATCGACTGGGAGGACAGTGGTACACCTTCTCTCCGCCATATGCGACATGTGATGTCCACAGCAACAAAAAGTCGTCTTCTTCTGTGACCCATTTTGAAGCTGGTAGTTCCTCGGTCAATGCTGGCAATGTCGGATCGGCCTTGTTGTCATCCTTGTCGGGAGGCAAATAACTAAACTTGGCTTTGTATGATTTCATTCCCACGACACACCATGCTCCCCATAGATCAAACCGGAAAGTTCCCAAGGCTCTAAGACACTCGGAATCGATATCAATACTGGCCATCATGGCCCATGAAAATGTCAGAAAAGACCAGTACGACTGATTGGCAGTCCGATACTCACTCAAATCCGTGCGTCGTGTACATCCCTTGGCAATGAGGAAGGATGCATCCAAGACGGACGATTGTTGATGACTGGTGACGGCAATGGACTTGGCCATTCCGTTGGACGTTCCAGCGCCGATAATGCCCACGTTGAGTTTTTGGAGTATTTCGAGTGCATCGTCGCGTGCTTTGATTCCTTGCAAGCACTCGAATACAATTCCATCCCCACCGACGGGAATGAGTGCCGTGTATTCTGCCAAATCTCGACCCTCATCATCATCATCATCTTTCCCGCCTCCTTTCATCATGCGTTCTTTGGCATGTAGTGCATATTTGGTAACGACGAGATCGTGTTCCACATTGGCTTGTTCCAGAACGACACTGACAATATCGTGATACAATCCTTCGGCCTTGTTTTGTCCACCAGCAAAGGGATTAACGACGACCAGGGCTCGTCCTCGATCTTGGAGTAACTCTGCCGCTTGTCGAATGGCCTTGACGAGTTGATTGAGTGGTCCCACATCTTCGCTGGGTACCACGGTGAATCGTCGATGAAAGGCATATCGATGTCCCCATTTTTCCCATTCTTGTTCGCCCGGACGTTGATAGGTGGGTCGGGGTTTGGGATTAATTTTCCCCATTCCACACCACCGTAAAATGGAGGATCCCTTGTCGGGTGGATTGTTGGGGTCTTCTCGCGGATAGGAATAAATTGTCAATATGGCGTGACCTTGTGTATCGGAGAGTGTGTCTGTGGGAGGAGCATTGGATGGACGACCCGTGTCTTCCTTGTCGTTGTCAGTAGTAAATGTAGTACCAGTAGTAGTGACACGAGGATCCATGTCATTGGTCATGTTAATTTCGACCGCCACATTGATGACATCTTCTGGATCGAGAATATCAATCACCACTTCTGGATCGTCCAAGGAAACCAACTTCAAGAGATTTTCTTTGTCATCGTATTTGTAGACGCATTTGGGAGGATCACCAGGGACGGCCAGTTGGTTTTTGGTGGTTTGCCATTCTTGCGGCAAGAACAAGGGCACTGCTGTCTCTGGCCAATCCACCTTTACCATGGTTACGCAGCACTAATTATTAAAAAATATGGATGTTGAATTGTAGCAATGAATAAAATGCAAGAGAGGTTTTGTTGTGTCAGCACCAAACCCATGTGCATGCAGGCAAGACAACCTCTATGTTGGCGGGGTTGCTGGTGGCTAGTAGCTAGTAATAGCACTCGCGGATTTGCCAAAAGCCGTGAGAGCGTGGATGTGTTGGGGAAGCCGGTGAAGCGGATTATTAGCGGGGAGAAATTGAGCCAGGGAAATCCAGCCACTACCCCACAGAGGCTCTGGAGCATGGTATTGCTATGGGGATGGGCAACATCCCCAAGATCGAAATTAGACGAACCAATCTACTGTTTATTAGTCGGCGCAAACATTGAGTTGAATACACTAGTAGTGCTAAGCTGCAATTTGTGGACGACCCAAGCAAACACTGCAGTCCCTAGAATTGCTGCCGTTTGGATCCCAGAACTCGATTCCCCGTCCAGCCCCAGCACTACAACCCATGTAATGGTTTGCCGGGAGGGTTTGCCTCAACATAATATGGTCCTAGCACTATAACCCCTGCGATGGTTTGTCCCAGCACTGGATTCTCCCTGACAGAAGGCCCCAGCACCAGATATCCCACAAGGACTTGCCTTGGCACTGCAGTCCCTGCAAAAGTCTCTACTATTTGTGTCGTTCCTCAGTGTTATGACTGCTATAGATCTATAGCAGGCTAGCATGTGCTTTCCCCCATAGAAGGACCCTGCAGAGCAGTGATCTCCTCTAGGTAGTAGTGCAATGTCCTCGACGGATGGTAGCATATTCTCCCGATTGAGTGAGTACCTACCACATGTCGACATCTTGAACTGCATCGATCGAGCGATCATCCAATTCATTGTTGCTTGTGGACAACTGACTACCTGTTTGGAGCTACGGTTGAACCCATTGGCTGCAATGGCACTTCGACGACAGCTGTGGCCGACATGACATTGTCGGCAGAAACCACCTGCGCTTGCGCCACGGGTATAAGCTCTATTGATGATGTTTGCTGGACCAAAGAATGCGTCTCGTTATTGTTGTGCTGTTGGACCACTTGCACATCCCCGTCTTTGTTGCCATCCGGATCATCCAATGGCACTCGTTGCCACTGCTGTCCTCGCTTGACAACCAAGACTTCACAGGCCATCATGAGACAGCAAGCTGGGAGAAGTGAAATCATAATGAGAACGATCCACCGTCGGGATCCTTCAATAGTTAGCAAGACGGTGGGATCCTGTTCTTGTTTTCGGCGGGTATCTTGTTTGGCGCGTGACGTTTGGACAATGATGCACTCGTGAGAGGCGGAAATGGCCGGACATCCATTGATTCGTATATTGCCACAGACAGGATCCATGTTTTGTAGATTGTGTGACGTAAGTTGGTGATTGTAGTGTGCCTTGAATTGTCCCTTTCCATTCCCATAAATGAGAATGTAATTATCGGTGCGATCCACTTGAAATTCCACACTATTGTTATTGTTGTTGGAGTCGACGAGCCACGTTGCGAGTGCATTGCGACGGTACTTTTCAAAGTCGCTCTCTCCCAGGTTTCCTCCCATGAGCTTCCAGGACGGTTCCCCTTGGACCAATAGAACCGTCACGTGTCCCGACGTTTCCATGGCAATTCGAACGTTGGATCCTTCGTTGAGATGCCAAGAATCATATTGGTAATCGTAGCGTCCCGTCAAGGTCATGGCATGTTCACTCACAATGGAATGGATGGGTCCTGTCAAGGGTGGACACTCGTGTGACGACAGGGCGTAGACGGCAGTGTCCACGTAACGACCATCACGCACGTGAAAGGATAGGGCTGAACTGAGAAAGGATGGAATCACCAGACGAGTCTCTCCAGCATGCAGAGTCACATGATCGTGTTGCCAAGCCAGTGTGAGCAATAAGGAAAAGATGATACCCGAAACAGAAAGTAGCATCGGAAGGATTTGGATTCGTCGCAGCCAAGCCACTTGAGTGGCCGATGGAACCCATTGTTGGTCCTCTCCATTATTACTATTAGCAGATGGCACTACGAGATTCAATCCAAAGCCATGATGTCGTCGACGAGTAGTAGTGCCTAGGAATCCAGGACTTCGTCGTCCCAGGAAACCTCGTCGACCACCAAAGCGCCGAGCCATTCTTTCATTTGCTCGTTCCTTTCTTCTCCTCTCTTTTCTAACTATAGGATCTTGATAGTACCTTGATGGCTTGATGCAGCAAATCCTTCGCAGAGGGTGGATGGAAGACGTAAAGAAGGAAGTGCCCAAAGCCAGAAGCGAGAAAAAGATTCGATTCGATTCGAAGGAATAGAATCGAATCGAATTGAATCGAATCCACACATCCAATTCAAACGAACTCCGTCGGGGTGGTCCACATGTGGAAAGGTGAGCCGGTGTTGGTCCAGGAGTACCTCGTAGGGTCTGGTGATGGATCAAGGTCGGTATTGGACCTGGAATAGGTTCATGGGCAGGATCTGCATGGAGTTGCTCGAGTGTTTGTCCATGAGCGATGCAGACCAGGTTTGGAAATGGACTACAAGATCCAGCAAAGGAAGGACAGAAGGATTGAGGGGGAGACGCCCTGACTCCGTACGTTGGCCACAAACTATCGGTAGCTTATCTACAACATCGAGCCAGGACGTATCTACCATGGCAGCTGGATAGTTTGAATACAGAGATTGAAGCTACCGGTACCGAAACTAGAGAGCTACAAACAATCATGGTTCGTTCATGCCGAATAGTGACATGGCGCTGTTCCACGCGTTCCTCACCGAGTTGAGACCAAGAAAGCAGTCACCACCTCCCCGTGGTAGACTTCCAGGGAATCCTTCGGGCGCTGACTCTTGCACTGCAGCCAAAGTAGCAGAATCCGTAACGCGAGAGAGCATCATGTCGTACACTACGGCAAACTCGCTCAGAAAGCTGTTGTCCTGTTGAGGGCCGTCAAAGGTCTCGACAACCGTATTGGAATCTGTGGTCCGTTCAGGAAAGCAAACTGCCCAAATGCGACCATCCGTTCCGCAGTTCGATGGAGCCGACGCAGGGCGTTCGTCTTCCGGAGGTATGACTACAGATCCATCGTCCGCCATGTAAGGGTCCAAATTCAAAAACAAGTTCATGTCTACATTCAACATGAGGCGGTTGCAGCCACTCCCGTCAGCCGTACCAGCATTGCTTGTGCATCCAGTCCTCCACTGTTTCTTGCCAGTAGCAGAGACAAGTGACTTGCTCCCAGCCATTATTGTCACCCGGGGGATCTTGCATGTCGTTGTAGAATGCAGTGTTGAACCGATCCTCACTCGCAGTCCAATCTCCGACGTACCCGCTATTGTCCACGTCCGCACCGCCCAGTGTGTGTGCTCCCAACAGGATGGCAAATTGCCGTTCCGTCATACCAAAGTTCGTAGCAAAGTAATCCGTAACGGCGGCATGATCTCCGCTTCCAAAGCCAGAGTTGGGAGGGATATCTTCCGTTCTGCCGGACGTATACGTGTTCCTCCCGGTTCTCAGAGGCACCCAGGGAAGGTCGTGCTCTGGACTCACAGTGTAGTAGAATGCAGCAATGTACGCCCATGCAACAAAGTCAGCCTTGTTTGCAAAGGAAGATAGCGTACCGCTTTGGTTGTCATTCCATAGAGTATCCAGTTCGTTGACGGTTTCAGCCAAACCATTGTGTTCAGAATCGTCTTGGTTGATCAAGGCGTCAACCCCGCCCATGGCATCATGAAATGCCAACCTAACCAACGTTCTAGCTAGTTTTGACTCATCGCCTACTGCGGTAATCCTGCCTGACACCAAACTGTAGACGTTTACAAAATCAGGGTCGTACACTTGAGCACCTACCAGCGCAAGCTGAAAGGAGGTGCCGCAAAGCAGAAGTGCGGAGTAATAAGCTTTCAAAGGAAGCTTCATAGTTTTGCGTAAAACCTTTCTTCTTTCGGAGGGAAACCAATGCTGTGCGCAGGTGGGCATTTTTATGAGCTATTCTGCGTGCTGGTCGAGAAGCAAAGGACTCGACTCGACTCGACTCCCGCGCCACGGTAGCGGGCTCCGTATCTTTCCACAGCTACAATTACCGTAAGGAACTCCTTCTACGGGACAAATTTTTTGCTAAAGGTGCCAAGAGCTCTTCTTATACGCACGATCATTTGTTTCGCACGATCGATCGATAGCTTCGTCAGGGTGCTCCATTGTGACGATATTCTGAGAGCTAGGTGTAGCCTAGCTGAATGGCTGCTTCGAAAACACCGGGGTCAAACAAAGGTCTACTAGCTAGAGATCGACTCGTCTTCAGTTTCCTCACTATAGCTAGCAATCCATAAGGTTTGTGCTGAGAGACAAGCTGCCAAGCTCATGGGCTGAGCAGAAGCCGGTACATGTTCTATTGGACGAATTGCTCTTCCAGTTTCTGTTTTGCATGTAAACGTTAGAGCTGTGGACTGAATGTCAATCTATAAATAAATGGTGTTGTTAGCTATGGCTAGATTATGGCGGCGGATCGTCGCCGCTCAAAGTGTATTGATAGTCTTCCAGACTTGGTCTTTGTAATCTCACTACCGCGTCTGGTTTTCTCAGTGCTGGCTTTACCGATTTCTGTTTTGGCTCGGTATCCTGGCCATTGGTTCCATCCAGTTGTCGTCGTCTGGATGTCTTTGGCAACGTGTCTTGTAGTTGTTGTTGTTTCGGACGACCGAGATGCGTTCGATTGTACCACTCTACCGTTCGTCGAATCCCTTCGTCAAATGACACTTTAGGCAGATATCCCAACAAGGCTCGTGCCTTGCTGGTATCGGCCATGGTATAGGGGACATCCCCCGTTTGTGTTGGCAACACTTGGATGGTCGCCTGTTTGTTCGTGAACCGTTCTACCAACTGAATAAAGTCTTTCAAGACAATCCCCTCTCCCCGGCCCAAATTAAAGACTTGACAGGGATACGCCCGATCCAACGATTGGAGGATACCCTGGACAATATCGTCAATATAGGTGAAATCTCGTACCGCTGTGCCATCTCCATATTGTGGAATGGGGAGTCCTCGACTGACCCGATCGACAAACTTGTAGGGTGCCATGTCGGGACGTCCTCGTGGTCCGTATACGGTAAAGAATCGCAGTCCAGTGGAATGTAGATTGTAGAGATGATGATAGGTAGCTGCCATGAGTTCGGTGGACTTTTTCGTGGCGGCATAGGGAGACCAGGGACGATCGAGTTGTTGCGTTTCGGAAAACGTGGTTCGATTGTTGTTATTGTTATTATTACGGCTGCTGCTGCTGCTGCTGCTACCCCCGTAGACACTGCTCGAGCTGGCGTAGACAAAGTTGGAGACGTTGTATTGGACGGCCATTTCCAAAAGTCGTGTCGTTCCCATAATGTTGGTTTGTACGTAGAGAAATGGATCTTCGACACTGGGACGAACCCCCGCTCGAGCCGCCAAGTGACAAATGTGGGAAGGACGAGTTTCTCGAAAGATTTGGTCGAGGAGTGTCTGATTGCAAATATCACCGCGATAAATGGTGAGACGACGAGAAGACGTTGTAGTTGCGTTTTGTCGTTGTTGTGCAGCACTCGTCGTCTTGAGAATGTGGAGATTGTTTTCTTTAATATGCACTGGATAATAGTCGTTCATGTTATCGATAATGACAACGTCATCTCCTCGTTGGAGCAATGCTTGAGCCACGTGGGAACCGATAAACCCGGCACCTCCCGTGACAAGGACCGTTTTGTGGGAGGTATCGGGAGGTACAGGCGTGGTGGTTTGGGTGTTGATATCATCGGCACTGGTAGAATCGGTAGCAATGGCGCGACGATGACGCATCATCTGGTGCTCTTGATTCTGACTTTCATCCAAGAGGAAGTCTTGAAATCGACCCAAAGATCGTTGAGAGAGAAACGTAAGGAAGAGGGCACTGGCCACAAAGCACAAACAAGCCATCTTGTACGACCGTACTTGCGACGATGTTGGTGATAAGGGTGTCATCATCATCGTTGCTGGCGTTATCTGATGGATATATGCAAGCGGAGGAAAGGAGGAAAAGTGAATGGATGAAAAGTCTTCACAAAAAAGGCATGTATGTACCGACTTGGACTCGACTCGACTCGACTCACGCGTTGAGCTTTCTCACTCCCTCAGTCAAGCCGGTGTCATGCCACAAGATCTTCGTGGATGCCACGCTTCACTCACAAAATTTTATAATGGGAAGATACCTAGGATATACCCGTGCATCCGATACAACTAGCTACCGGTGGACGAGGGTCCCCGATAACAACAGCTCAACAACCGACAAAAATTGAATACGGTAGCTATTGAATGATCCGTCCAGGATTACAAGTCGTTGAGGGAATACGAAAATACATCCAATAATTACCAATCTCGGCTGGCGTCTTAGGCAGGGCAGACCCGTGCTTTGGTCCGTGTTGGCCACGGTCCTACTGTACTTGCACAGTGGGATCTTTCATAGTCGCGCTTCAGAAACTGAGCCGTGCATGTTCTAAAAGGGGCAGTCACGGTACCGCCAACAGCTTGATTTGGATTTGAATTTGAATTTACTGTAACATCACGGATCCACCCACACAATTTACAATCCACCGTTGGAAATATTCCGTTCGAAGCTGTTATTTTATCGATCTCTTGATCGGTGTTTGTAAAGGCAAGATGATGATGCCAATGTCGATGCCCTCTTCTTCTCCTCCTAGTACTAATACTAATACCGGTAGCCGCCGCATCAGTTATCGCCACTATGGTATTGTGATTGCCACACTGTCGTTTGTCTTGGTCTTCCACCAACTGAGTCACAGCAGCAGCGAGTCATTAACCAGTTTCCAGCTCCCCGCCTACCTGGACTACCAGACAACCTACCATGAAGCCAAGTTTGTGGAAATCGGTGATTCTTCCGAGAATGAACTTCCTCCGGGATGTGATTATGCTTCTACCAAGTTAGACTATTCCAAGACGTACGATACCTGCATTGTGGGAGCCGGTCTTTCGGGAACTGTCTTTGCCGAACGCACTGCCAATCTACTGAAAAAGAATGTCTTGGTCATTGACTCGCGACCCCACATTGGTGGCAACTGCTACGACTTTGTCGACCAAAAGACGGGCATTCTACGCAATCAGTACGGATCTCATCTCTTTCATACCAAGATCCAACGTGTCTGGGACTATGTCAACTCCAACCCTCAAGCGCCACGGTGGAATCCATGGTATCATCAAAAATTTGGACGCATCAATGGGAATCTCTACGAGGGAATGCTCAATGGCACCTTTTACGTACCCATTCCCGTTAATATCCTTACCGTCAATCGATTGTTTGGACTGCACATTCAAACCGAAGAAGAAATGAACGAATGGCTCAAGACCGTACAGATACCCTGTGATGCTGTAAAGGGATGTCAAAATGCTGAAGAAATGGCCAAATCGCGCGTTGGAGAAGCACTCTACAAGGCTATCTTTGAAACCTACACGATCAAGCAGTGGGATCGATCTCCCAAGGATATGAATGCATCTGTGACAGCACGCATCCCGGTTCGATCCGATTTTGATCCTCGATACTTTGCCGACAAGTGGCAAGCACTCCCTTCCAACGGATACACGGCGTGGTTTGAAGCCATGCTGAAGCATCCACTCATTGATGTCGTCTTGGAAACCGACTTTTTCGATCATCAGCAACACTTGGAAGGACCCGCCTGCAAGACCATTGTCTACACGGGACCGGTCGATCGGTACTTTGCCGATCAGGGAATGGAAAAACTGCAATACCGCAGCATTACCTTTACGGAAGAACGACATTACCAAACGCCGGGATACATTCTACCCACACCCGTTTTGAACTATCCTGGACCGGAAACACCTTACACGCGAGCCATTGAATACAAGCACTACCTTCATCAAGAATCACCGCACAGCATTGTCGTCAAGGAAACCACCTCGGATGAAGGGGAACCTTACTATCCCATTCCCAATCCACGCAATCTGGCATTGTACGAAAAGTACAAGCAAATGGCCGATGATCTCGAACAACAGGGCAAGTTCATCTTTGTGGGACGTCTCGCCAATTACAAGTACTTTGACATGGACAAGGCTCTTTTGAATGCCCTGCAACTCTTTGATCTGCATGCCAACAAGACGACTGGCGGCGGTAGTACCGGTAGCAGCAGCAAGGTCGTTGGATAGAAAGTCGAAGTGGGAGATAGACGCATTTATTTGAGAAGCCACTTGTACTAAGTTTGTGGCTAGTTAAATAGCTTAGTGCTGTAACGAAAGAATAGAGACCAAGTTTTGCAGTACAGCTGAAACTCTGGCTAGCTACCTAGCTAGTTAGAGAAGCATAAACTAGACATTGGGATCAGTTCTGGAACTGGAATCTTCGGCCCAGCTCGAAACAAAGTATCCAGAGATTCTCCAGGCATAATATCTATACATGTACTAGCTAGTAGTTGCTCATCTTCATTGTCTATAGCTGTCTATCTACATGTCCGGAACCTGGCAGTTTCCCCTTGAAAAGTGTTCAACCAAATGAAAGGATAAAGCGATGGCTTTGCAACGTGGTAGTGCGGTTCATTTTCCTTATCGGTATCGAGGCAACGTACCGGTACGCGAGGAATGGCTGGACACCGAGCCGCTTTACCCCACACATACATACAACATGCCAGTGCTCGAGATCTGGAAGCTCCATAAATTGTTGGACTCTGACTCTAGTCTAGTACACTCCAACCTCATCAATAAGATAACTCTATCCTAGTCCAGTACTGGAGGTATCTCAACCGATTCAGCTACAGCAACACTGAGTTATTATCTTACAAGCAGCCCAATCTCAGTATCTTTCATATCTTATAGCCACTACCTGGTAGAAGCTTTTATTACATACCCTACTACAACCAACCCTGAACAAGGAGGAGCCACCACCAAACCAAAGCAAAGGCAAAGGCAAAATTACGATGAAACCAAAGATCCGTTG